TGAGTCCAGTCTCGCCATCGACATCAGTGACAACGGTGATGTCCTCGATATGTTGACGAGGCACAGAGTATAACCAAATGGAGCGAGAAAGACCAGCATAGTTGTAAAAGTCGTGGTTGTAAGTCTGGATTCGTTTGCCGGTATTCTCACCGATCTCGATCTTTCCAGGTGGGATTGTCTCATGGGTAAGCTCGTTGTTGACACCAATTGTCAAGCGGAACATCTCTCCAGCAGTGACAAACTCGGTGATATCGGCTTCGAAAGGCGTGTAACCGCCGACGTGCTCGGCGAGCAGACGGTCATTCACATAGATACGACCGTGATGGGTGGCAGATTCAGCTCGCACGAAATACTGCTCCTTAGACCAGCCCTTTGGGACGAAAACCTCGCGCTGGTAGTAAACCCACCCGACATGGTCATGGATATCCCGATCGACGAAAATATCGTTGTACGACGCTGGGACCGGACATTCGAGAGCACCCCTGGGGAATGGCGCGGACCAGGGTTGGGACGTGTCGTTGGCACCGGAAGCAAGAGTGAATTTCCACAGACCATCGAGGTTTACAAGATCACGGGAAGAAGTTCGCTGAGGCTTTAGCTTGATTAATGGCTGCTCAGCCTGAGCTAACTCATTGCGACGATGCTTGCTGGCTGTAGGAACCGCAAACGAAGAAGGAATAAGGGACAACAATGACAATCCCACTAGGAACTTCATGGCGACGGGATATCATACGATATTCACTGAGGCGTGCAACAGCCACTCGTGATACAAACTCCGCTCTGAGCTGATTGAAGCATAGTAGCTAGCAAGTTCATCAGATATATATACTACTTTTTCTAGCCAGTATACCGGCAATTGAGATATCAACTACCTGCATATCGGTGATTGATTAGCTTGGCATGCGAACGGTCAACCATCAGGCAAATTGTACAGTAGGTTATGTATGTCGATGATGGTATTTGGGATTTTGCCAAGATGCTAAGTCTGGGGCCCCCAGATATGCACCGCTTTTCGCGGGGGTGGGTCGGAAGTTCGGCATCTATGTAAACGTGCACATACCCCCATGCGTCGGCAATTCGCCACGTCTTCTCCACGTCGGGTATTGATCGAATAACATACTTATAGGCCCGTCAATGCGGACATGGAGCTTTTAACCCTATTGTGGTGAAGCACGGCCTGTAGATAACTTTAAGTAGTGGGACAGCTTACTAATTGACCTTTAGTGACCAAAGGGTCCTGACCATACCTATAAGATGCGATATAAGATTTGCTCGAGTCAGAGCTCGGCAGTAATACACAATCGGAATCAATTCCGCGGTAGTAGGGGTCTTTATAATTGGTTATAAATATGTTGCCGAGTTCCTATAGGTGCAGTTCATCGTGCAATTGGGAAAAACACTATCCGCTGTGTTGACTTGGCTAACTAGGGGTCCACGGGTGTTAATTGATATGAGTCATTCGTTCCATATTTTCAAGGTTGCTTGTTCAGTATATATTCATGTTCTTTCATTTAATACATGCTCGGAAATATATCTGCCATTCACGCCTTGGTTGTTTCCCTTGGTCTTCTTTTTGCTCAGGTCTCATATAATAAGAGGACAACCAAAACTACACCAGCACAATGAGAAGCAAATAAAAGGGTAAAGTAGAAGTTAAAATGATGTCAGGAATTTGTCTTATGGATGTATCTGTGCCTGTTTCCCCCGCCTCGTGGGTTGGTCCTCAATACCCAACCTGTGATACCATTCCTTGATACACGCGGAACATGATGATAGTAGCCCGTGAATATCTGAATACGCTACCGCAATTTATCAGACTATTCAGGAAGAAAAGAAGAATCCCCAAATTTGCTATTTGGGATGAATCAAAAGAATGTTGATGATTTTGTTTACCTATTGTAGTGGGGAACCTGGTCCGTATTACGTATTAGCTTTGCTTGTTTGTCCCTTCCAAGGTTCTTTTAACTTGCACGATTCATTATGTAATCATTGTTGTAACGGGCAGAGGATATAAATAGCAGATAATTACATATTGACAATCCATACTTCTACACTCTGACTTCAATTCTTGGGCTCTACGCCCGGGTTTCGTTTGTATGCAAGGTTGGATATGAAGCTGAAGTGTGAGTACCGAATCAACCTGCATGCCATTGAGCATACAGCCTCGAGTGTTCCCCTATTCATTATCTAGAGTCTATGTACTCAAAAGTTTCAGGATGGAAAATGGACAAAAACTTTAGAGTTATATACAAAATCCCCCATATCCTTCTAGTCGTGAACCCGTGGAAGGACAAACAGGTTCCAGAACTCATCGAAGTTTAGCGTTTGCGTGGCACCGATGTCGCCTCCCTTGGCCTCTCTCAGAGTAGTTCCATTACCCAGATATGAGAACCGGTTAATCTTTGCTTCAGGCGTCCGATCCATTTTGAAGTCCTCCCAGCGCGGGTTCTTCATAGCTTCCAAGAGGTGGAAGATAGATCCGCCATATATAGCGATAACCGGGCCATCGATGGTGCCACGTTTGTACCAACTGCGGCAATCTCGAGTCCAAACTGTACGTTCAAGGTACTTCTGAATATGCTGATTGTACTCCTCATTGACTTCGTCGTCGACCTCGAAGCTGCGAATACTTTCAGTTTGCATCTTTTCTATCCATTTGTAGATATAGGTGGCGGTTGCTTGAATGCCGAGAATCAGTGACCCGTTTGCCAGTGGTGAATTGGGTCCCACGAAGCCTAAACATGTTAGCAAAAAGAAGCTACGGTGGGAGGGAGCAAATAGCAGAAGGACTTACAGAAGTAATTTGGAAATTCCGGCACGCACATGCCCATGTATGCCTTTGGGAGGTCCTTTTCCCACTTTTCCGCCATGTTGACTCCGTTGCGGCCCACAAGTGGGAATGAAGGCTTGAATGAAGTGTCAAAGCCAGTTGCACAGACAATAATGTCATATTTTAACTCAACACCTGCTCGCGTGAGAATTCCTCGCTCAGTGATCTTTGAGATATCGTCCCATCTCAATTCGATATTGTCCTGGACAATAGCTTCCAGGAACCCGGGTCCTGGTGTTTGGCGACGGCATCCAACTGGGAAGGAGGGCACTAAAAGTTCAGCCGCGCGCTTTCCCTTCTCACTGTTACCCAGCCGGTCGGTCATGGACTTTCGGAAGAGATCTTGAGCTTGTTGTTGGAGGTCACAATCAGCAATCACCCGATTGAAGTTTTCTGCTCTTCGATTCATAATGGCAGCGCGATAGTCACGAAGGAATTTAGGGTCCTTGAACAGCTCTAAAGTGCTTTCTGCGAAATTATAATCCTTGTCCATTTCTGGATCATTTGCTGTAGGCTCGTTGATTCCAGGAGCTGGGCTGATCCACGTTTGGCTCCGTACGTAGCAGTCCATATTACCGACGACTAGAAAGGTCAGTTATCTGATAGACTGGATGGATAAGGCATATGGGCGTACCACTGGCAAGTTTAGGGACAATCTGGATACCCGACGATCCGATTCCGATACATGCAACGCGTTTTCCAGTGAAGTCGTAGCTGGAATCCCAGTGCGCCGAATGCATGAGTCTTCCTTTAAAACTGTTTAGTCCCTCAATCGAGGGCCACTTCCAATTGCTGTAATGCCATTTTATCAGTACCCACATGACAAAATATCGGAAAGGAAACACATACTTCAATACACCGCTGGCATTGATGAAGACATCACATTCATCTCGGATAAGGGTAGAGCCATTCCTGATCAGGAGGTCCCACTTTCCCTTTTCTTCATTCCAAATAGCTGATTCGACTGAATGTTGAAGGCGAATATATTTCTCAACCTCGTATTGCTTGGCCACATCTTTCATGTAGGAATGGATTTGCTCTGATGTCGCGTAATAATTCGGCCACTCGGGGTTGGCAGCAAAGCTGTAGGTATAATTATGTGCTGGAATGTCACACTGACATCCCGGGTATCTATAATCGACGCGTTAGCTATAATGGAATCCCAGATTTAGCCCAGGGCTCATCAAACTTACCGGTTCTCATACCAAGTTCCTCCCAAATCGACATTTCGCTCGTAAATAACAAATTCTGCATTGGCATCTTTCATGCGCTCATTGAAGACAATTCCCATCATAAGACCAGAGTACCCTGCGCCAAGGCAGACGATGCGAAGTGCCCGCCGGGTGCCGATGGGCTGTTCAACAATAGTATACCCGGGGTCGAGGTGATGCCGATGAGCGCTGGCGGTGGCCGTGTTGCTAAAGCCGTTCTGGAGACCCAGCTTCATGACTGAAGCCATAGGCTCTATAGTTGCTGCGGGTGGTGACATGGCTCAAAGCAGAGACAATGCTGGTGCAACCTCGTGTTATAACTAACTTGATGTCTCTAAGTGTGGTGTCTATGGTTATATCAGTCTTTCAGAAGAAAATTTGTTCTGTAAGCATGGTGTTGCGATTGTCATAAATATGTAAATATTTACGATACCCATTAGAGGGGTATTCTTACCAAATCTCCGGCTTGGATTCTAAAATCGAAATGAAACGGAGAAGGTGCGATAGTTTCGGAGCATAACCCGAAAGACTCTTACCCCGGGTTTCTAGATTAAGATAACCGATATACACAGCCGAGGACGTGGTGCGACATCGGTCCATGTACCCCGCGTTCATTTGTGGGGAATTATGGGGAAGTAGCAGGGGGAAAAAAGTTCCGAAGTTGGAAATACAAAATGGGAAAGCCGATGTTCGGAAGCGATTTGGAGGTTGTGAGCAATGGCTATTGGTACACGATCACGCGAGGTAGGTCTCGAGGTGTGGAAGAGTCACCTCTTTCGGGTCTGAAATGTCCTACAAGGTGTCACGATACCTTCATACTACAGATAGCTAGTTAATAAAACAAATGACATTCCAAAATCCGAACTAAATGACTATCAAAGATTCTATGAAAATATCTGTTTGAGATACATAGATACATGTATCTATTGAACAAGGTATATCGGTATACCAGAACCCAATTAATGTTCCTGAATGATGAACTCTCCTGACACAGAAGGCATTTCTAATGCCCATCTAATTCCGTCTTCCATGGTCTGATCCCATTGCTGGCAAACTGACAATCTCCCCCCGAATCGTCGGAATCCATGGGGTACACCTTTGAACACATTGACATTCGTCGGTACACTTCAAGATCGTGTTAGCGAGGGATATAGATTAAACCTGCTCGAGTATTTGCTTACCCATTTTCGGCCAATAGCTTTCCGTATAGCAGCCCTTCGTCTCGTAGGGGATCATAGCCCGCAATCCCAAGTGTTGTTGGTGGTAACATTTTCGCGTCTTCAGAGGACAAAAGCCCAGGATTCAGTCGTTTGTCAGTCGGATCTGGATTTTCCACTTTTAAAAGACCATTGAACAGTTGCTTCCTGCGCATATTCAGGATCGGCGCGTTCTCGTTTTGAGAATATGACGAGACACTAGGGCCTTTTATTTGGCGTAATTGAGATTCATAACACTTGGTGTACACCAGAGCAGGAATCATCAGCACCTGGCCACAAATTGCTGAAGTTGGCGAGACTGGGAGCTCTGATCTTGATGCTGCCAGTGTCAAAGAGGCGGCGAGCCATGCACCGGCCGATATCCCACCGACGACGATTCGGTCCAGATCACAGTTCAATTGAGAAAAGTTGTCGCAGACCCAAAGGAAAGCGTCTTCGGCATCGTTCCAGGCGGTCGGATATGTATATTCGGGAGTATGGCGGTAGTTGACATTGACAACAACAACTTGTGCGTTGACAGCAAGCCGAGAGCATATCGCATCCTCTGAGCTCAAAGTACCGAACATAAAGCCACCCCCATGAAAGTGCATGTAAATTGGCAGATTCTCAGAAGGGGATGCTGAGATTGGGCGATAACTTCTCGCCTCTAATTTATAGCCATCACGTCCACAAATTGAGTGATCTTGTGTGGACACTTTGGTCGAAAACTCTGCCACCCCTTTTCGCGCCACGGCTTCTCTACCTTCGTTGGCTGTTCGCTTCAGCTCGGAAAAGCTCTGCTCTTTCGTGGGTGACAAAGTGGCTTCCACACGCAGCCATTCCTCGCTGGGAATACCGTATTTTGAGAAGTCGCACATCTTGTGGGTGGCTTTGATGGATAAAATTAATTCCCTTTTGTTAAATTAGATATTTACTGATGCGTCATTATCTCAGGTCTGAGGTCAGTTTTGTGCTATGGGCCACCGCGCTAAGGTCCGAACAAGGCTTTTTATGCATCGCTATCAAGCCCTGAACAAATACCGGAATTGCCGATGCTCCCGGCTCGTCGTATCAAATAGACATGCCCACTTGCTACCAACGTAGAGTGCCTGTTTTGGCCTTCCATAGACGAGCCTTACGGAACATCTAACCTTCTTGGAGTGGAATGAAGTGCACATGAGCCCGGCGCGTTTGCGTCGCGGCCACAGAATGCGGTGGTAGAAGCTGGCCTCATCCGCATCAAACATTATTTGAAGATCTCGGAGACAAGGCTGGTGCTGTGCAACGCGTGATCACAGGCCGTAGGGAGCTTCTCGAGGTCGGATCGAGTTTAAGGTATGTAGTGACACTCAAAATTCAAGGGGATGTTCCAATCCCTAACTTAGCTTTGGACTTTTTGTGTACCCTCCCAATCAGACGAAGGATATTTCACTTCCATTCTCGCGCTTGCATAGCAAATGGCTGTAGGCCAATCAGTGCTGTGCGGGCAATTCCTATTTGGGCGACTAATGATATTCGCAATTCAAAGAATAACTCGGAATCCACTTTGAGTTTAAGTGATTATCCTCCACAGCCGAGAGACGAGAAACAGACGATGTCGGTGTTTCCAAAAGCGGATTGCCGTAGGCACGTGTCACGCTATCCCGGTTCAGACAAGTCATCTCGGCTACCCAGCCTTCGCCTTGATTGTACTCCGTACATACGATTGAGCCCTTCGGCACGCAATTCGTTTCACTGAGGTCACGGCGTCTGGTGGGGCAGAATGGATCGCTATGTCGGCACGGAACGTCCTCTTGGTGGCCTGCGCAGGACGGGGTGGAGGCGTTACGTTTGTTCTCACCCGCATTCCTGTTCGAGTATAAAGTTGGGGACTCTCGACAACAAAATGCATCAATAAGTCCAATCTGTCGATCAACTTGATAATAGAAGTTTTGGGTATCAAAAGTTCAACTAGGATCTTCTAACCCCTCTCCAACCTTTATCGAACCCACTTTCCCACAACAATGGCACCCTCAATCGTGACTCCAAACCTACCACCGTCATACGTGGCGGAAGGTAAGGTCCCTGCAGCTTTCGCCACCCAAGACGCGAATAACCTTCCAGAGACCTTGCTTTCGCATTTCGCTGGCCGTATCAACGGTAAAACCACGGATAATGGTCCGAAATCCACAACTAGCGACAGGTTCAAGGAACATTCAGTTCCATTCTACGACCAATACGCCCTAAACCCTCGAAGACTCCGTATTATCACGATCGGTGCCGGCTTCTCTGGGCTAGTGCTTGCGCACAAATTCCAACATGCCTACCCGGAGCTTCAGGACTTTGTTGATCATACGATCTTCGAAGGCCGAAGCGATATAGGAGGGACATGGCTAGTCAATACTTATCCCGGCGTGCAATGCGATGTGCCTTCTCATATCTATGTAAGAATACGATAACTGTTCCCAATTTGGAAGCTCTGCTGACATGCCCAGGCCTTCCCATTTGACCCTAATCCAGACTGGCCTCGCTTCTATTCCAGCGGACCCGCAATTCAAGAGTACATTAAGACAACAGTAAAGAAGTGGAACCTTGATCGTGATGTTCAATTAGAAACCCAGGTCGTTGGCGCCTGCTGGAAGGAAGATTCAGGAAAATGGAAGATTACCGTGAAGCACGCTGGAGTCGAACGGGATGAATACTGTGATATTTTGATCTCTGGCCAAGGTAACTTGGTGTAAGTACTCAACTGTTGTCATTTAATGCCAAGAACAAGCTGAACTAAAACCCCGATAGAAGCCCTTCCTGGCCAAAGATTGCCGGACTCTCCGATTTCAAGGGTCATGTTACGCACTCTGCACGATGGGACCATGACTTCAATTACTCCAATAAGCGGATAGCTGTCATCGGCAACGGATCATCTGGCATCCAGATCGTGCCTCAAATGGCCAAACTGCCGGGTACGACGGTGCGCAACTTTATTCGTGGTCCAGCTTGGGTCTATTATCGTGTCCCGCCCTCCAAGCATCTTGGGAGAGAAACCGAGGACACCAATCCTGAATTCTTGGAAGAAGAGAAAGAGCGGTTCCGCGATCCTGTCCAACATCGGGAATACCGTAAAGGAATTATCCACCGTACCAACAAGGCATTCCGCTTGGTGAGGTCACAGCCTTCAACTCTGCTTAACGAAAGCTAATAGGGGTCATCGTATAGTTCATGAAAGGAGAGCCCAACGAAACTACCGTGGCACTAGCATCAGCTCAAATGGCTGAGAAGCTCAATCATGATCCCGTGCTGTGCGAACAGCTTATCCCCAAGTGGGAGATCGGTTGCCGTCGAGTGACCCCCGGTCCTGGCTACCTAGAGTCATTCTCAAAGCCGAATTGCAGTCTCACCTCTAGCACAATCATAAAGATTACAGAGAAAGGAATTGTCACAGCTGACGGGCAGGAGTTTGAGTGCGATGTTTGTAAGTTCATTCCTTGATCCACCTCTCACTTCATTTCTAATAGAGTGTCTTAGTGGTTTGTGCCACTGGCTTCGACGTCTCTAAATGCCCCCAATATCCCCTGGTCGGCCAGAACGGAGTCAACCTCGCTCAGAAATGGAAGGATGAACCCACCTCCTATCTGTCAGTGGGGACCGATGACTTCCCTAACTATTTCACAATGGCCGGCCCCAATTGCCTGTGCGGCCACGGATCCCTCGTTGAGGCATTGAACTGGACAGGCGACTACTTTGTCAAAATGATCAAGAAGATCGCCACAGAAGACATCAAATACATGGTACCAAAGGCGTCCTCCGTGCACGCATTTGGCAAATACCAAGACGAAATCCACAAGACATTGGTCTGGTCCGGCTCCTGTCGCAGCTGGTATAAGAGAGGCACTGTGGACGGAAGAGTCACACATCTTTTCGCAGGTAGTGCTATCCTGTTCCGCCGACTGCTCGGCGAGATCCGCTCAGAACACTATGACATTGCTTACAACTCAGGCAATCCCTTCCGCTTCCTGGGCAATGGATTTACTGAGTGGGAAATGAAGGAGGACGCCGACCTGGGATGGTACGTGCAGGTTGCTAAACCGGGACCAGTGGCCTATGCTGGAGATGATAAGAGCTGGGTAGCGAAATAGATAGATAAATACATACCCGAAAGCGCGCTCCTGCTGTGGATGTTTCTTTATTTGGTTCATTACACTTGTTTTATATAGCCTGCAACTTGAATACACACTTTTCTACGCTTAATCTATTGGAACATTTCTGCTTTTATGGGTAAAAATAATCACTAGACCAAGTAGCGTCGAGAATGGAATATGCGTTCTCTTTTGCCCCTTTCCTCGTTGGTGCAACTCGATACTGAGCTAGATTTCGTTGATGACATCTGCACCTCAACCAGTCTTTTGTAAATACTAATCTATTGGATGTCACATATCCAGAGATATTGTATGGATACAGTATAAATATAATTGTGCATGAGTTCGCTGGTTACAGCGCTGGTTCTTTGAAGAGGTATATGTGGATTGTCCGAGGAACAGGGCGTCGGAAAAGATCGGCGACAAGTCCTTGAGGGATGACGATCAATTATACCGAGATTTAAATGAATTGTGGGTAGCCCACGATAGACAATATATTATATTCTGTCGAATACTAAGTCCGAATACATGGTAGAAACCAGGTAATATACCGGAAACATCATGTGACATTGGGTACCAGGCATACCATACAAAAGTGCATATTACAGTTAGTCATCATGGTCCGCACAGATTGTTGAAATAGCGGGTTTTGTCATTTTAGTTAGTTAGAGTTGTCAACATTGGTCATTTATACCATACATTGTTCGTACACCAGCTTTCCGTCATATTCTCCTGAGCTTAAGACTGAACTAGCTGTTGTACTTTAAGTTTCCCCAAACAACCCCTTGAGCCGCCGATCATCGTTCTCTCACAATGAATACCGGAATTGCATATTCTGTGAGACTGTCAATAAATGGGAACAAACTAGAACTCGGTTTACTCACCATCCTATCAGTCAAGTCATCCTCGTACGCATGTTCAAAGCCTTCCACCGTCCCTGCCTTGTCGCGCCGGCGGTTCTCCATTGAACAGAGGATTCGGTATACTAGAACTAAAGAACCCGCAATAACGGCTGTTATAACCACCACGATAAATCCCAGATTATAATGAGGTGAGTCTTCTTGTCGGAAGACCTGGGGGCCAGCGAAATTTCCTATTGGAGATCAATGACAGCACTTTCACATTTGTGGGTGATAACCTACCAAGGGAGTATCCAATATACAAGCCCGAGGATGCAAGCGATCGTTTGGTATAGCCAGCGTTGTTTGCGAGGAAAAGGCCCATGGTCACTGCATACCCAGCGCCCGTGGTCGTGAGGATGTAACAAGCAAAGAGGAGCCCCCCAAGCTCCGACCGAGGCAGAAGCCAGAGCATAAGAGCGGCAGCCATCGTAACCAATTGGCAAATAATGATGATATACGCACGCCATCCAGGGAATTTGTACGCCAGGTATGTTGTGATTAACATCATGGTACCAGCATATACCCCAGAAGGTATCATGAGAAGCAACGAGTTGAGTGGGTTAAAGCCAAAGCCATCAATAATGATAGCCTGGAAAGTCGAGATTGGGGCATTAGCGAACATACCACACAGAGCGTAGAAGAAAATAAGCCAAAACTTGATATCAGTCAGGAGCTCAATGGCCTGACCACCTTTGAAATGAGTGTTTCTGACACCGGAGTTGTTCGTCCTCATACGAGATACCGCAATAAACCGCTCTTTGCCATTGAAACCCTTTGCTCGGATAGGATCTGATGGGAGGACAAAGTAAATCAGGACACCACAGATGATAGTAAGAGCCCCGGCAAAAAGGTACATGTAGAACCAAGGGGCAAGACTTCCTCCAAGGTGTCCAAGTGCGTAGTTAACTAAAGGCGAAAAAATGGACACGTAGCCTGTGCATGAGTACCAGGCACTAGACAGCAGTCAGCCAAAGGTCAAGTTGACACAGCGTTGATGTGAGAAACACACCCCATTCTGAGGGATTGTTCATCCTTTTTGTACCATCCACCCTATATCGCGGTTAGCCGATATCGTTTGATGGGAGTAGAAAAGGTTACATACCACGATCATCATAAAAATTGGACTGATGCCGGCCTCAGTGAATCCGAGGAAGAACCTTTGCGCGTATAATCCCTGGAAGTTCGTACAAGCGGGCGTGAGAATCAAAGTAGTTCCCCAAACTATGATGGCGAGAGAAGCAACACGTTCAATGGGAAATCTCTGGGCTAGAAAGGTGACTGGATAAGCGCCCAAGATAAATCCAAGGTAGAAGATAGAAGAAGCCATTGAGAAGCGGTTTCCGCTGTTCAATCCCAGGTCATCCTTAATCCCAAAGAGAGCCTGGAAAGATCATTAGTTCATGGAGTATTGTAGGCTAGGAGATGGCCATACCGCTTGTCCAAGAAGAACCTTGTCAGCATACAGAAATGCATAGGTGACACACAGGACAGGGAGGAGCTTCATGTCGATCTTCCTACGCAGCTTGTTCTCCTCTTCTGGAGTCCAGGTCTGATCACCATCATATACAGCGAGGACCTTAATTGCTTCATCTCCGTGCGCGGTGTCGAGCTTTTTCAAGTCCCCCTCTTCGCCATTCGAAATGTGGGAGACATCTTCCTTAATTGAGGTCATAATAAATGTCTGAATATAATTGGCTTGTGTGTTAGAAGGCCAAAGCAACCCTCACGGCGATGGCTGGGAGTCCCTTTTTATCTCTGGGCATATCGTACTGAAGTCCTGGGGAAGAGATCCATACCGAGCTGTTGAGTGCCAATCTCTGGGCATGATTTACATCCGTCGTGCGCGTAATATTGGTATTATCATGTAGGCATAATAAGAAAGCCGACGGAGACTCCCTAGCGGGATTACCGATGGGATAGCCGGGATGTTTATTAAAGCTTTACAGCCGTCCATGATGCGCAGGTGATGCTACAAGCGTTTAGCCCCCGAAAACGCGGGGACATAAATGCGGGGAAGCGCGTATGGATACGAGGCCAAACCATGGAAGGCTGGAATGTTGGGGAAAATGGAGGAAATGGAAGAAATGAGAGCCGAAGATGTGGCGGGAGACTCGCGATGGTTATCCAAATTCGGAAATACCGATAATGTTAGAACACGGCCGATACCGCCCCGGAGCGGGGCGTTCCACAACGCGTGGACTACAGGTCTCATAAAGAAAAGGCATATGTATCATATTCGCTTGAGGTTGAAAGAAGATCCTAAGTTCAAATAAACATGGCAACTAGTCGACCACTTATCGAGCTGCCTCCTGGCAAGGAGGTGGTGAGCGTGAAAATGATCGTCCCCGTCAATTTCGGCCCAGCTGTCATCAAACGGTTCATGGAGCCTCCCGTGCCTGGTGTGGAAACAAAGAAACCTGGGCCTGTTTTGACGTTCCTTTTGGAGCACCCCTCCGGTCAAAGGTTGGTGTTTGATCTTGGAATCCGCAAGGATTATCAAAACTATGCTCCCGTTGTTGCGAACTATCTACCAACAACGAACTACGACATACAAGTATCAAAAAACGTGGTCGATATCCTGGTAGACAACGGTATCCCTGGAGAGAGCATCAATGCAGTTATCTGGAGGTATTTTGTTTCCAAATCATTGTACCCTTTAAATAGAAAACCAACAATGACTTTAGCCATTGGCATTGGGACCACATAGGTGACCCGTCAAGCTTCCCTAGCAGCACTGATTTGATTGTGGGCTCCGGGTTCAAGGATGCCATGTTACCTGGTTATCCTGCTAATCCCAAATCCCCTATCCGGGAGAGTGATTATATGTAAGTTCTAGTGCTATCACGGGATAATCCTGAATACCTTTCAGATTTTCAATTTAACTAATTATAGTGGTCGATCCCTGCGCGAGATCCGATTTGATGGTCCTGATGCCCTACGTATTGGGAAATTCCCTGCCGTTGATTACTTCGGGGATGGGTCATTCTACCTCTTAGACAGCCCAGGACATGCAATTGGGCATCTTTGCGGTCTGGCGCGAACGACTACAGACCCGCCTACCTTCGTCATGATGGGAGGAGACATTTGTCATTATGCGGGGATCTTTCGACCGTCAAAATATCTTCCTGTGCCCCCGGAAATCTCTCCACATCCGTATAATACACAAAGCGATGTACCCTTCTGCCCCGGAAGTGTCTTCGATGATTTGCAACATACCAGAGGAAGGAAACCAACAGATACGATGTACGAAATGTGCTTCGGTCATGACATCCCCCTTGCACAAAGGACACGTGACCAATTACAAGAATTGGACTGCGACGAGAACATATTTGTTATCATTGCACATGATGCAAGTGTTAGAGATGGGGTGGATCACTTCCCATTGAGTCTTAACGCTTGGAAGGAGAAGGGATGGGCCCAGAATCTCAAGTGGACTTGGTTCCGAGATCTGGAACCATTTTGGAAGTCGAAAGGCTTGTAAAAGAGACCATCTCAATTACTTAAATGAGAGTTATAAGCCTGTCACAATATTTGAGTGTTCTATCAGGAAGTGTCGAAATATATACCGCATTTGTCTGCGTACATTCTCTATCCTCGACAAAACAAATGTTATAGTATCATTCAAAGATTAACCTAAAGATTTGACTACCTAGGTAGTAAGATTTGGGGCAATTGGGAGTTGGCGTTTGAAGTTACATAATTTTGACAGCGCTCCACCATGTCAATAGGAAAGTTACTTGAAAAATGAAAAATGAAAAAAAAGGATACCCAAGGCTACGAGCCTATCGCAGGATTCACAAGTATTATGAAATAAATATATCTACGTGTAATCTGAGAGGAACACAATGTTGTTCAATGGGCTATGGTTGGGGTGCTACTCATGCAACAAGGCAACGCGGGCTTTGACCTTTCCATCGCAAACACTCTTCAAGATATTGGGGAATTCCCTCAAACCAGCAATCTCAACCTGCGGCTGAATTATTCCCTTGGAGATCAGTTCCAGGACTTCCTTCAGATCTCTCCATTGCCCGCCGTATGTAAAGATAATGCTCAGTCTTTTCTGAATGCCAATCTTCATGTCGACTGTGTTCTCCTCATCAAGAGTACCAACACACAGAAGCTTTCCTCCTCTGCGAACTAAAAAGAATGGTCAGCGCGGTCAGACAGTTCAGTTGCAGACTACTTACCAATGTTTTGTGCATCCTGGAAAGTCTGGTGTGTTCCGACAAAATCCAGGGTGCTGTCAATTCTGCCCTGCAGCCCATTCTCGCGCACAAAGTCCTGTACTGACTTTCCAGCCGGTACTAGATCCTGTCGAGGAACACCCCACCTTGCAGCCTCCTCCAACCGTTCTTGTCGAATATCGGAAACAATGACTCGAGCCCCGATATGCAGAACAATTTGCAACGCATTAAATCCGAGGCCCCCAAGGCCAAACAGAAAGACTATCTCGTTAGACTTGACCTCTGCACGTCTTACAATGGCGTGGTAGCTCGTTTTGACAGCGTCCGTCGCCACTGCTGCTACGGATGACGGAATTCCTGCCGGTTTTGTTAGATCAAGCCTCAGAACACCATCATGCAACAAACCTTCCGGGACGTGAACTACTGCTCGAAGGTCAAGCGCAGCATATGGTGCATAGAAGCCGTCCTGACCAATACCAGCGTGGTGGGCTTGTTCACATAGCTGAGCGAGATCCCGTGAGCACTCTGCGCAGTTCTCTGATCCACAACCAGGGACAGCGATAGTCGCGATTCGATCTCCCTATAAATGTTGTTAGGTCTGATTTATCTTCCAAAGGATTCTTTGAAGAGCCTACCACGCTGAAACCGGCGTCTTTCACTTGGTCGCCTATCTGTACAATCTCTCCACATCCTTCATGACCCTTGAAACGAGGAATCTGGTCAGCATTGGAATTTCCGGTATTTTGATGCACAAGACATGATCTTCATACCAGCGTGTATTTCTCTTGAAACCAAGGGCGTTGTCTTTCACTTGTGAGAAGTGAGTGGTCGCTATGGCACACTAGCAAGCAGGTATTAGGATCTCCAGCAGAGGTGATTTCGGAACCCAAAAACAGCCGCCAAATACTCACCCCCAGATGCTAGCAACTTCACTAAGAATCCTCTCTTGGGAGTTGCAGGGACCGGGACCTCTTCCCAGACCAGCGTGTTTATTAGCAACGGCTACTCCCAGTGAATATGTGGCTACTCACAGGACTGGGGTTTCCCTTATGCTTCCTCCACGCGTACATAGACGACGGGATGTTAAGACTTGCAGAATCTGTCATCATGTGCTGATCTATATTGTATGAGTTGGTGTTTGCCAATCTCCCAATTCTGGTCGCTTTATATGTATATGAACTAGAGTCGTCCTAATCACTACTCCTTACTGGGGTCTTCCCTTTGGCCGTGCGCTGCCGACATAGCCGGACATACCGAACGGCCGTTTACTTTGTACCGAAGCATTCTCCGGATTATCGTATGGAGCTACTATACGAACGTATTGCACACGCCGATAGGGCGGTTGTGCAGATATATTACACATGGAAAATATGGGCATATGATGATTATTATCCATTAAAGGAATTTGAAAATTGAAACTAAATTTAATTCCAAGACTAGACCAGATGTGCCACTATAGTAAAACCTGCTACTCACAATTTCTGCCCTTGACCCTGTCTCTGCTCCGAGTCAGCAGTGAAATGCGACTCAATCCTTGTAAATCCTCACTTTATAATCATCTAGCCATTTATCCTCGATAATGACTAATTGCGACGCTTGCTTCTTGGCAAAGTACTCGTCTTTGGGGTCCGAATAGTCTTCCTTGTTTACATCCACAAATCCCTCCTTGGCAAAGGACCTAGGCGTAATCATGAGTGAGCGTCCTGGTAGCGTAGAGTTAGCCATGATATCTGAATATGTCTTGTCTAAAGACAAGGTACAAAGAAAAGAGCTGTGGTTCAACACACCGTTGATAGATTTATCGCAGGCGATCCGCATCATTGCACCGGCGCAATCGGCCTGTTCGCCAAACTCAACACCACGCTCGATCAGCCAATTCTCGTATTCCTTGGTACGAATAGCGCTTTTGATCCAGCATGGCGCGACATAGTTAACCCGAATTCCTTGCTCCCAGCTGTTTCGACGCACAGTCTTCATGAAGCCGCGGAGACCATACTTAGTCGCTGTGTATTCCCAGTTTCCCTAACGCGGCGGATTAGTCACTGAATTACTTGTATACAAGACAACCATTACAAGGAAGTCGCAGACGGCATATTTACCGGTGAATCAATGTACGCGACCATGCTTCCAGTCATGATGAAGCATCGGTCTCGGTCCTCGGTATCGGGTTGTTTTCTGAAATAATGCACTGCAAGTTTCCAGGTGTAGAATGTCCCGTCCATGTTGACACGGACAATATTGAGATTGGGCTTGGTTGGTGCCCCGTTAGGGTCTATGGACTGTCAGTGCCTTGGTTGCATGGAAGTATGCACGGCCAAATTTCGAGTATCTTGAACTTGAAGTTACCAGATATAAACAGACTTACCATCGAGGTTCCACAAACTGTCACCCGAGGCACGCGAGATTCCTGCATTGGCAATGACAATATCAACGCTGTTACCCGGACTCTTGGATTTGGCCGTCTCGAACAGTGTAATCAAACTGTCCCAGTCTGTAATGTCACATTTGACAAACGCAGCGGTTTCACCGTTGGCGTTCAATTCCTTAGCGAGATCGTCTCCTCTAGGGTGAAGGTCGCCAAAGGTGACAAAGGCGCCGGCCTCAGTGAAGGCGCGCACCATGGCCTCGCCCATTCCATTTGCGCCTCCGGTAATGATGACGGATTTGGCTTTGGCATTGGCTAGATCAGGCACCACTGTATGGTCGATTGGGCCGTTGTAGGTATATTTAGGAAGAGGCATTGTCAGGTAAACTATAGGTGTGAGTATAATTAGGGGTGCTGGTTGATTCTAAAACTGTCGTGTTGACAGGAGACCTTAGGTATGCTTATAGCACCAGCCTGCCTCGCTGTATCTACAGCATATCCGAGGTAAATTTTTGTTTCTATGGCAGGCCGGTATAGGATACCCCGCGTTCGCCCCGACAAAGGATTGCTGCCGAGATCATTGCCAAGCCGGTAACCTAAAAGGGGACAACCGACCATAACTAGGGTAGTCGAATAATAAAGACTTTTGTTCATTCGAGTGTTATTAACACAATTCCCCGGGTTTAAGGGTGAGGAAGTTATAAAAGGAGACTCGAAATGAATATTTGGCTGCGAAGGTGCCCCTCCTAGTAAAAACCCTGACTTGTGAAAACTCCAGTCCAGTCAAGGTCCACGATTTTTTGACTGTGAGTGTATGTAATAGTCGAGTCGAGTTTATGTCCCAATTTGAGCGCAGACGAGATGCTCGCAGGTATGGAATACCCATGGAGTCTCCGCCTAGGTACCACCCCCAAGATTTGTTGGTGATGACCTAATAACTCACGAGTCACACGTGTAGGCACGGAATGGGCGGGGACCTCTAGTTTCCACCCCTTCAAAGGCCGTGCTCGTATATGTTGAACTCTATATTGCAGAGGATAACAGTTAAGTATTAATTATCGAAAACGGAGTACATGATAGCGAGCACCACCTCAGCGTGGCGCGACTCGGGATGAAATAGTCGTATCGCGAGCTACTCATCAACAGCGGCGGGCAGCTGCGATAAGGCATCGCAGAAGATACGAATTTCAGTTCCCAGATCGGAGGCCAGAGGCCACAAGGCCGCACAAACTTCAAGGTCGTGGACCGACGCGAGTGGATCCATACGGGATGCCCGGAACCTGGGATTCAGCGAAGTCTCATGATTGAGTCTAGAGTACCCAGGTAATGGTGTGTGTCATGAAAGCGGGACTCGGGATGTTGCACAAGAACGTCTTCCAGCCCCAAAAAAGAGGAATCCGGAAGAAATCAAAGTTTTGATAGACAAAAGCCATCCCTAATGCGGTTAGAACTGGGTTCCCGAGCTCGCGGAACACCGTCCGTGAACCACACGATGACCAGGTTTGGGTGAAAGTGGAGACGGTACCTACATTAGCGGGGGACTAGCATTTGTCATAGCGGCACTAAGTGTGTGTGTTAGGCGAGTCTTTGAAAAAAAAAACGCAATTTGATACCATTCCATAACAACTCATTACATTATGACCACCCGGGCCCTCATTATAGATTCCTCTCATTACCACCATTCATTACCAACACTCATTATAACTGTTCACACCAGGTGTTGAGCGTAAATATCAATACTCCATTGGGAGCCAATCCCTAAGCAGCTCAACTAAATAAATTGTATTTTCCCGGAAGTCAATGCTTATGAGGAGTTCGAGTTGTCTAGGCAGCTGAAAGAGGAGCCTGATAAAAAACAGTTAGTCGCGATTTGTCCACTGTTAGGAGACACCCAAACAAACCAATCATTCCCGTTGCATAGGCATCAATGATCTGGATGATGACACCGTAAGTCGCACCAACAAGGAAGAAGATGCCGAGGAGTACCATTCCCCAGTGCAGCAGGTAGATGACCTTCTGCACAAGTGTACCCTTCCGGTAGTCACTGTTGCTGTGCAGCCACAAGAAACCAGGAAGGCACATGGCCAGCGGGGCGAAGCAAACAGACCCAATCAGGGCAACCAGGTAGTTGAAGATAGGGATAGTCTCGCTAAGGATGAAGGAGATAGCACCGAGACCGATCGTGCAGCTCATCCAAGTGACCCAATGAACGACAGTGTTGGCTTGCAAATGACGCGTGTTACCCAAGATACGCACAAAGATGTACTTGGCTGCGATCTAAATTGCAAAGTCAGTTCTGAACGCATGAGTTGCGGGGGAAATATTCACATGTAAGTAGATCGTGGCGCTCACGACTAGTCCTAGCAGTGCAACACCATACGATACCATCTTGATCGTCTGTCCAGCGCTCTATAGATCGAAAATAATCAGTTAGTTGTACCCGAAAGTGCCATCAGAAATATAATACATACGCCCAAAGACGGACTAGCCACCCACTGTCCACACCAACGATAGACAACCAAGCTGAAGGCAAGGTAAGACGCATTCACCACAATCATGCACAGGTACAATGCCTTCTTATAGTCCCTCGGGTTGCGCATCTCCGACATCACCGGGATGAAGGCGCTGGTACCAGCTGTGGAAACGAAGATAGTGCTAGAAGCAACCATGCCAGCAGCGAATCCGGGGTTGTTGATAGCCACGTAGCCGAGGTCATAAGGGCCCTCCTGGGGTGCGGCGGCCGGTCGGTCGCGCGTCGTGACTCCGATGACAACGATCAGAACTGCAGCATAGATCGAAATAAATCCTGCATATGTGAGCCAGCCCACATGCTGGAGTTTGCGCACCGAAGCTGTCGCAATGATCACCACCGCTCCTATCAAAGACCACCAGACAGTACACGCAGAGTGGTGCGACAGGGCATTCAACGCAGTTGAAACTCCGATGATGCCACTGCCCGTGACAAGGACGTAGCCGATGAGAAAGAGGATGCCGGTAAGCTCCTTCGCAAAGAAACCGCCAGCAACTTCTGCCATATCGGCGATAGAGTGGCAATGAGGATGCTTCTTGCGGAAGTTGCCCAGGATCACGAAAGAGTAAGTGTTGAACACGCCCCATGCGACGATACTGATCGAGCCACCCACCGCACCGAGGGAGTACAGCGAAGCTGGCAGCGACAGAACACCCGTCGCGAAGAGGACCTTCACGAAGATGATACACGCTTTGAACCAGCCAACACCGCGGAAGCTGACACCATCCTCAGTCTTCTTGAAGACTTCGTGCTGCTCAGTAGAGTCCCTAGAGCTTCCCAGCTCTGTGTCATCCACGCTTCCCTTCTCATTGATAGTCATGATGGATGATTGAGTTTGGCTCGAAAATTGCAGCCCGTGGGAAAGGTAGAGTTTAGAACTGGAAAGCTCCGGGGAAAGAGAAAAATTTCCTACCAAGGTATTGTTCTATCTGTCTTAGAGACCTCCCGTGGCGGTAATTAACTGTGGGCCCTGCAGTGCAAACGTTGATAAATTAGCACTAGTTGTGATACACTAGTATTCCACACCCAGGTTTGGTTGCAGTTAGTCTATATTCCCGATGGTTACAAAAATATTTCCTGAACAGCTAAAATCACATTGCTCAGAATCTTCTTCTTTTCCTCTAGGTCTGCGGCCAGGAGAAAGGAGAAGAAAGACGAGGTAGCTGCCATTTCGCTGTTTCTCTAACCCATATAAGCGACCCGCAGGATATGAGAAGCAGCGTGGGGCTAAATGTGACCACAAATGATCGGCCTTGCGTTCAGGAACCCAGTCACAGCTTGGCTATACGGAGTACTCCATAGTTTGAGGCATATTGGCGCGGACCGCAACATTAGGTGTCTCTCAAGTCATAATTTTCGGGTGAGAGAAGCTTTTCACTGTTCAAGATTGCTCCAAGTGGATAATACCTTTTGATGTGGAACAAGCGGGCGGGAGAGCAGGGATAGAAGGGGGAGAGAACTACCTGATGTGGGTCCTAACCACGTGTGTCGATCGTGACCGGAGGCATAGCAGCAACTACAGAGGAATAAAATAATTATTATATATTTGTTTACAGAGTGGCACTTTTTGCTTAAACCCATTTTTTCTTACAGGAAGTTTCTGAAAGTAACCCATGATAGTGGGCTTTGGTCTAAGAAGGGACGGGAAGGGGAGCCACAAAGGAGCGATAAGGGAGGGAAAGAAATGAGCGCCAGGTATCTGACGATCTGCATGGGCCACTTTGTCCTAGATACTGGTTAGATCGGCATCGACTAGTATGCAATATTGCTGCTACCCAGCAATGAAAGAGCATACATATTAAGAAAATAAACTACAGCAGAACTCCCGTTTCGCGAGCACGGCCAGGTCTGCTAGATGAGCCTATGAGTCTTATGTTCCTGTCTATGAATGATTACAACATTAACGACTCATTCCGAAGTCTGACTAAATAGATATGACCAGTGTTAGACATCATACAAGCGAGGGCATTTCACTAGATGAAATGGAACTTGATAGCACAGGTATTCCAGCCCTAGATTAGGTATAAACTAACAAAATACATTAACACAATACTCTAATTGGTTATTGGTATTGTTGGGTTGCGCGGATAAAACACAAATACTATGACAAGAGAAAAGCTCAACAAAACATAGAAAACTAGATTAAATCGGGACGACGATACACTCCAAGAAACACAGAAGAAAAACAAAGGAATCAAAAGCGAGGCATGGGTTTCAGCACAAACGACAGTCCGGCAAAGCAATGACAGGTTTGTCAGTTCTCAAGGAACTCCGGATGCTGCTGGCGGGAACCATAAATTTCCTCCCACCGAGGGTAACCAAGGGCCATGTGTAGTGGCGAACGTTCCTGGTGGCAAGGGATTGAGTACTGTTGGCATATGCTGTCCAGGGTTGGTAGCAAGATTCAGGTCTGGGAGGCCAAGTTCAAATCTCGTGGTTGAGACATATAACTGATGGATGCCATTGGGTACGCTTGCCACGTATAACAAATCTGACACAATTGGACCGTCTAGTCGGGGGGCACCATTGGGTGACCAGCCTCCTGGAACGAGATTGCAAAAGGTTCTAGTCCAAGCGATCATTCTTTGACGATTTCCATCAAGGATGGTGACTTCTACTTCAATCACTTCCCTAGTTACGAGGCCATTACCAGTATTAGATGTTGACATACAGATGACCGGTACTCTTGGACCAACAGCTCCGCCAAAAGGACCAAGAAGCACACTAAGATCCGCTTGGAACATGGTCATCCTACTGCACCCAGTATCGTGGATAAATTCCAACTCGGCAAACCATGCTATTCCTGGAAGACGGATTGCTAATGTTAACTAGAGAAAAAGGTTAGTAAATTTGGATGAGGGTTAAGCCATAAGTATGGAGCTTACGCCAATCAGCTTTTGATATCGTGAATGTGGAAATAGTGTCATCGCTGCATAGGAGCTCTCATTTTCAAGGCCGCAGATCTGATATTATGCATTAGCGAGTAGTTGTGGAAATGTTAAGGAAATCAATTACCCCTTCCACCCAAAAGCCTTTGTAACCCTGGTGGTGGGAATTAATCGCTTCAAATTCATCCCAGTCAAATGGTCTTGGTTGAGAAACCTGGGCTCCCTTCCACCAATATGTAACAAGACCTGTATTCCAATGAAGCTCGCCCGATGTATATGCTTCCAAGAGAGCCCCAATGTTTGGAAGCTGCTCGTAGTCATCCGTAGTGCTCGCCAGATCTGTCTTCATCGTTTCCAATTCATGCACCCGTTGAACGGTCTCCCAGCTGAGCTCTTCCGACCCCGGGAATCTCATATCGCTACAGTATAACAAGGTGAGAATCTATGCAGAATCAATACCAAGATAGCTGACTCACTCCTCTTTGACCTTTGCAGCTGTATAGTCCTGTAACCTTTGCTGGAAAACATGGGGCATTATGTTTTCAGCAATTCTCTCATGACATCTTTCGATTTGACCATCGATATCGCTATTGAATTTTCAATTAGGTTGTTGTTTGCACGAACGATTAAATCCAATGTCGTCTCACTTATGTTCAAGATCGTCTTCCTTCATATGCCACCCGCGAGGAAGCTTAGCTGGGTCGGTGATGGGGTCTGTTCCTGTCTGTTTGGCCCATGGTCTGCTTTTCTTTGGCCTTTGTCGTTTAGGTGACACGAAAGTGCCAACGTAGGATTTTTCAAGGTCTAGCTCTTCTACCTTGAGCGCTATGCGTGGAGTTGGATCTTGTGGTGGACCCCTATGGCGGTGGGGTGGTAGTTGCTTCACGCGAGTACTACGTCGAAAGTTGTACCGGTCTGACATGTTGAAGACAAGATGAAAGTTGAGTCTCGCAAATTAAACAAACCTTGATGCCAATGCACAATCGAGTCGGATGATATAAATATATAAATACTTGAAGGAAAAGAACCAAGCTAAGGAGGAAAATAAAGCAAGATTTCAGCGAATGAGAGAAAACCTACACTTAGGGTGGAGTGGGTTTAGGATCAAGGCTTCAAAGACACGGTATAGCTACAACAAAGAATATATCCTTAGAGGGGATGGCTGTAAGCCACAAGAGTCGTTTGTTACGACTATATTTCTCTATACTCTTTTCGCTCGTTTTCATTGCGGAGAAACTAGAATGAATGATAGGAAAGCTTTGATTCTCAGCCTAAAGATGCTTTCCCCAACATCAAAGAACAAAAGAAGGTAGAAGTCAACATAGGATCATAGAAAGAAAAGTTAAGAAATATCTATATTTGGACCAGTGGAGTGAGTAAAGTATTGACTATCGTTATATTTTTTGAGAACAGTAAAATGGGATCGGAGTTGGAGTTCTATAACTCAGGTAGACAAATTTCGAGTTCAACAGTGAGCAGATGTTTCTTTTTTAAAAAAAACAAAAATCTTTTCTTTATCTCGTTTTCTAGTACAAATAGGAATGGCAATCACGTGAGTGTGGATTAATGGAATCTGGGGAAACAACCCTGAGCTCTTTCACTTCTTTCAATCATCAAGCCACCTTTCTAACTCCCCTCTCAATGCAATTGCGAATTTTTCAATACTTCACCTGTTTTCTGGGTATCCTCTCCATTCGGTCTACATACCTGATTGAATCGCATGCAGCCTACTCCGTAAGACAATGAAACTCGTTACGCGATCGAAAAGTGACAGTCCACACATCCAGCGTCTCAGGGTGTCTCCCCTAACCATTACTAAAGACGGCCAAGAGTCGACCCCGTCAAACTGACATCGAAAATCACTTGTCCAGCGTATAACATAAAAGTCCAATGGGACGCGAAACGCAGTCTAATGGTTTCATCGGACGGGAAGGAATCGTCTGACGGACTGGTTTCTCCAATCGTCGGTAGTCAAGGGTCGATGCCCACTCATAACACACTAGATAAAGGTAACATCCGAATGTGGCTCGATAACGAAGATTTTCATTACTTGGGCTACTTGACCTACTTTTAAATGTAGTCATCGCTGTGCGGTCTCGCGGTCTAAGTGATAAAGCCTCCCGTTAAGATTATTCCCCACTATTCGTACTTCCTTGTCTATAGAAACGAAAAATTAGGAAGCTTGAGTTATTTATTCACAAGGCAAGTTGCATTATGCTCACAAGTTTGCCTCCTTTACGGAACAATGATGCAATAATACCTACGATCACGTTTTTACTCTAGATTTTTATGCCACATCTGTTATTGCTATGACAGACCCTGATATGCATAATGATGGATATATAGTCCACGGCAGCGTTTGCGGGGTTGTCACTTGCACCATATCACGCCATGTCAGCATTATCAATGCACCCAAGACCCCTCGATACCTTCCCCAACCATTGGCAAGCGCATGGTATTATTGTCAGAGATAGCACGTCGAGTTTGGTCGGTTCCGTGTTGCACTGTTAAATTTGCCATTCTATAGGACGGATACCACGGCATTAATGTTAGTATGTTCTGTGTACCCGACCTTTTCACACAATGAATTATGACTGTAGCCTATACCGGACACGAACGAATCCATACGTGATTCTACAATAAAATGGCGCGAAGAAAATAGAAATTCAGATAGTTCGTATTTAAGCACTGGCTGCTCACAGATCTCAAGGAATAATTGCTCAAACTTGATAACCACACAATTTACTAACAACTTACTATTGGTCTCACCACAACATGGCACCATCTATTGCCCAAACATCCACTACGGAAGTTGTTGTTCCTGTAAAGGCCGCTCCTGGAACAACCGAGACCAAAGCCAGAGTGAGAAGAATTATTGACGAGGAAGGGGAAAATACTACTGCCAGCGTAGGTCGTGGCTAGGCCGTTGAGCCTCTACACATAGCTTGGCCTGACAACAATGCAGTATCCGAACTACCTCCCGGTATATGACTATGGCGAGAAATACCCGCCACTTGAACCCTTTACCCACGTCGAGCACGGAAAAGATGCCGACCCCTCCTTCAAGGATCTCCTCATTGAGGGCTCCAAGATTCAAAAATTGACTCCGACCACCGGCTCTGAGGTTACAGGCGTTCAGCTAAGCAAGCTCACTGCTGCCGGAAAAGATCAGCTCGCTCTGCTCGTTGCCCAACGTAAGGTTGTCGCCTTCAGAGACCAAGATTTCGCCGACCTGCCAATCCAAGAGGCCCTCGATTTTGGAGGCTACTTTGGCCGCCATCATATCCACCCGACTAGCGGAGCTCCAGAGGGATATCCTGAGATTCATCTTGTGCACCGGAACAACAATGCGTGGGAACTGGATGAATATCTCGCGACAAAGAACAGCAGTGTCGCATGGCATTCTGATGTCACATATGAGCAGCAGCCACCTGGTACAACGTTCTTATATGTGCTTGATAGCCCTGAAGTGGGTGGGGACACTGCCTTTGTCAACCAAGTCGAGGCCTATAACCGGCTTTCCCCAGCGCTTAAGGAGCGTCTTCACGGCTTGAAGGCTGTGCATTCCGGATTTGAGCAGGCTGAGTTTAGTTTGAAACGTGGTGGTGTTGATAGACGGGAGCCTGTAAAAAACGAGCATCCTCTTATTCGAACCCATCCGGTGACTGGCGAAAAAGCGCTTTTCGTTAATGGTGGCTGTAAGTATTCTCCCGTGTTCCTGGAAAGAGGAGTCAGCACTTACATCAAGACTAGTTACTCGCAGTATTGTCGGACTAAAAAAGGAAGAGAGCGATGCCCTTCTAGGGTTCCTACTGGCCCACGTGGGGCGTGGCATTGACTACCAAGCTCGCATTCGATGGGCCCCAAAGACTGTTGTTGTCTGGGATGTGAGTGGTTTCTTGAAATATTGATTAACCGTTCAAATTACTAATGTGTACGCAATATAGAACCGTGTCACGGCCCATTCTGCGATTGTTGACTGGACGACTGGGGAGCGTCGCCACTTGGCGCGCATTACCCCCCAAGCTGAACGCCCTTATGAGACACCTTACATCCCACAGGAGGGTGAATCCAAGGCATAAGCTTCTATTAGATAAATATTGAAATACTTCGAGGGAATAAAGGGTTATGAATAACGCATGTTTGTCCCTCTTACTATGGATCAACCTAAAGTTTATTCCATCGCAACACTGAAATGTCTAATAATCTCAAACTTTTCAAATTCATCCCGTAGATTTACGTCTTTAACGAGCAAAGCGGAAGTCAATTCTATACAAGATGGTTAGTTGGTAGGCATTGGAAGTAGTTACACCCTAGCGCTAACGTACCTCTTGTTAGTCAATACCGGGTTTTCACGCAAGTAAAGCTCCCTTTGCTCGCTCGTCATAGCGTCCCATTTTGTAGAGTTATATCTGTACGTAAGTTAGCAAGTATGCTCCAAGCTAATATTTGCAATTTTGGAATATGTACTTATTCCACCAATCGTAGTAGACCTTCGCGACCACAAAAAGGAATCCGCTGACAACAGCCAACGCGATAAGAACTTTGTTTCCATTTTTGTAGTATGGCGCATCTTTTGCTTGGTACACCTGTTCAGCATTGTTAGTATCCCGATCGTGAATATATTCCCTACCCATTGGGAGCCAAAAAGGAAGGAGCGGAAAGACAAGGGTTGGAACTCACATTAGCACTAGCGATACTACTCAATTGTACAGACATATTATACAATGCAGAAGCAACAGTACGAGTCCGTACAGATCCGGCATTCCGTGAAGTCAACGCCACCACAACAGGATGAATACTCGGCGAACCAACAAGAAGTGTAAGTATCGCCCAACGGGGCCAGGGCATGCTCTTTTCAGGGAGCACCTCCAGTGCAATCAGCAGGGCTAGGTTCCAGAATTCCACTCCTACGCCCCAAAGCAGGCGCTGGTTTGTACGCTCCGCAATCCAGGTAATGGCTATCATGGTGACAATCGCGACGACATCCGACGGAATTACCAACAAATTGGTCTGGAAGGTTGTGAATCCCTGGGATCGCAGTTGTAGCGTGAGGTAACTTTGCGCTGGACTCGACGGAATCATCCAGATTAGACCAAGTGTATAAATTGGCCACATATGGTAATCCTTGAGCGATTCCCAAAAGAGCCCCGGGGTGACGGCTTGTCGGTTGTGCATACTGCCCTTACTAGGATCGTCCCGAATGACTCGGTTCACCATGATCTTCTCTTCATGCTCCGTAAACCATCCGTTCTTTCCGCGGAAACCTCCCTTGGTTTGCACGGGTGATGCTGGCATCCAGAAATACGCGACGATTCCAATGATGCCGGTTATGAGACCCTCATACGCAAATAGATATCTCCAGCCACCGCTGCCGTCGGCATCGGTGATGTGGAGGAGGCCGAAGGCTAAGAATGAACCAACAATTCCAGCGACGGTAAAGGAAATCCAGAAAGCTGTCAATCTTCTCGGCAGCTCACTAGATTTGTAGAAGAACGACAAGAAAAGAATTGTGTCAGGTATACTGCAACCGGCGGTTAGTTCCATGTTAAGATTGTGTGAAATACGAATACTCACAAGCCGCCTTCTAGGAACCCCAGCAGAGCTCGACAGGCCAGATATGAGGCACGCCCAGTTAAAAAGGCCTGGCAAGCTGCGACCAGACTCCATGACACAATTTGAATAGGGATCCAACGGTCTGGCCCGATTCTTTTGGAGAGTAGCTGGGAGGGCATCTCGGCCAACAAGAAGCAGACCAGAAAGATTGTCTGACCCAAGTTGTAATCATTGCTGGTCATTTTAAGATCTTTTAGAAGCGTACTGGCGAGTGCCTGGCGGATGTTTCCTCGATCAAGCTGCAATGCAAAGAAAGTGATGCAAGCAAACGTGCAGACACGAGCATCAATCTATCCAAAGTGGGTTAATTGGAAATTGCGTCGTGACATAGAATGATTAACTAACCTTCCTGACAATGTTTCTCTCTTCTGTCTCCGTCCATTGAAAGTTGGGATCCCAGCGATGGAGTCCCTCATAGCTGTCAATGGGCCGGTAGAAGTGATGGCCTTCGCTGGCCTCAAAGGTACCTTCTCCTTTGTGTAGCTCAGTCTTCTGCCCCTCTTCGTCTGAGCCATCTGCACTACTAGCAGCAACATGCGCTGTCTTTATTTCCTCCGTGGACATCTTTCGGAATTGCAGGCAGAGACAAGGGCGGGACCTTGTCGAAATTATTGCGAGTAGCACCATGAAGATCTCAATTTCGGCCTTTATAGTTCTGGAGAAAGTACACATTGTCATGATTGCCGTCACGCAATTCTGCCCTAGGAAGAGTTGTTATGTTGTGCCCACAAGGATGGATGAGACAATTGCAACTTAACCGACCTAGGTCTAGAACAAATTCTGGCTCATACAATTAGTGTCACAAATAATCTCGTATTTTTCCAGCAATTAGTATGTACGGTTTGTGGGATAATACGATAATACTGACACGTGCCGGGTTAGCTGTAGGCGGGGTCCAAGCGACTTGCATCATTCCGAAATTTAGCCACACCATTTGGACTAATGTCTTATCATTCAAGTAATTTCTTGTTATTGGTTCTTCGGCATCGCTTGATGCTTATCTCGTTTCGAAATTCGCATTTTACTGCAACCATTGCGTGATCCCTAAAGGGCCAACCTCGCCTTTCACTCACCGGCAAAAGTTTACATAGTTCATGCAGGCCTACTTCATATCAAAAGTCATACTCGGTTCCTCGGTAGTTGCTTCGGATAGATTCCCTAGCTGTTTCTCAAGCTTCCTGATATTCAGTTTTCACGTACTGCACCGTAATTCATAGGAAAGACCATCCTACAATGCGTACAAAGTCGGCACTGTAGCATAAGACTACATGTTCACAATATGTGATTGAATATAGGCCGAGGCAAGTTGACTGTAGCGTTGAGATATTTAATTCATCATAAAATGATAACTATGGCGGATGCATTATGTTAAGGCTTGGGATCCATCGAGGATCCATTCACTGTAAGCTTGCCGTCACGACCAGCCTTTTGAGAAGATAAAACATGTTTCAAGGCATCAGAGAAAGATATTTGTGCTCAAGGCATTTCATGACTTTACTCACCCATCTTATGTTGTTGTCCGAGACCTCTCTACTTTGAGACGGGACACCAGTCAACATGTCCCTCCTGGTTGTTTCCCCACCACGACGGAAATGGATGAGATGGTCCGCCAGCTCCATACACGGCGAAAGAGAGAATGAAGACAACAAAGAGGCTGCCGGCGTCAAAGGCCCCTGCAACAATGTATGAGTAGTCTCTGAAAATGCGTGGGTGGTAATTCCGAAGGTAGGCTTGGGTAAACAAGCCACAGAGTATTCCACTGAGAATAGTGCAGGTCTGTGGCTGGGTTGAGATATTGCCAGCATACTGGATGAATTGTGGGAGGTTGATTTCCGAAAGATCGAACTGTCCGATTTTGGGAACAAACTGAAACGTAAAAATGGGTCAGGATCAACTAGTTGAATAATATTGGACTGTTTTGCGCTTGCTGACCTGATAGCAAACCCGATGGATAATCACCATAGCAGCACCAACGGCTAGGGCAATAGGAATCATCTCGTACTTTGCACCGAGCTTGTACAAGTAGGGAGCCAAGGCCCAAGAGGCCGCCTTCGTGTTGAAAGCTTGCATCGTCGCACCACTCCAGGAGGAATTTCCGTTGCCTTCGGCAAGGAGATCCCGGTTGGCTGAGATGATGGAAGACAAAATAGCATAGTTGATGAATCCACCAAGTACGATGCCATACATTTGGGTCAAAAGCATGATTCTGGGGGGTATTTTCAGGTATTCTCCTAGCTTGAGATCAGTGGACACGGAGACTGAAGACATGACAACATTGTGGGACCAAGCAGCGAAGTACATATTACCAACTGGGCGCCCGGGAAGCATGAGGCCAGCCAGCATCTTCGACAGGTTATTGGTGGCAATGCCGTTGCCGAAGCGAGCAAAGAGAATGACGCTCTGGAACATAACGTTGGTCAGAATAATTCTAAAGCTGTGTCTTTGAGGATACTCACGAAAGGCGAAATAAAGATTCCTAGTGCTAGCGCGACAATGTACGCCCAGACCGGAAGAGTGATATTCTCTTTGATCACCACGACAAGGCCAAGAACAAAGCTAATGATGATAATACCAGCAAAACACCACCATGGGGTGTCCTTGTAGTGCTTGGCCATGTGGGTGTGGTGCGGGTCATCATGCTTACCTTCCCTGGCGCGTTGATGTACTCTCCAAATACCTTTGCCCCAGAAGAGGATGCAGTGGAGAATCAGGGCACCAATCTAGACACCAGTGAGCATCTGTGTTCAGAATAAAGGTATTACACTCACCGCAGTGTTGGCCATGAACAGGCCAAACGCAAAGGACCCAGTCAGCTGGGGTAGTCCATGTTTTTCAATCACTGATTTGTCCAGCAAGCCACCAGGAAAGGCTTCTTTCACGGGATATCTTGTGCCATTGGCCATGAGAAGGTTGGTCGCCATGAACGGGAGTGATCTCGAACCCCAGCCATTTCCGAAGTAGATACCAATCATCGCCATAGCGCAGATTCCAGTTCCCACAAAAGTATGAAGTACCAACTTAAGAGGTATAGCGGTTGAAGATGATGTGATCTGCGTTGGGAAGCGTCGTTGGTTAGTACGTAGTATCGCAGGGACGTCATATACCCACTCACATATTGCCAGTCAAAAGACAAAGAGAAGAGACCTAGGCCTTCATTGGCAGTAGCACCACCAAAAAGGTTGGTTAGTATGGCACCTTTTTTGCCAGTTGCTTTCTGTGAAGCCAAACACTAAGAGTTTAAAGTCTAGTCAGATAGAGTGCAGGGAATGTTGCTAGAAGGTAGTACATACCGGAATAGAGACAGAGTTCAGCCATGGAAATATGTATGCAGGAAAAATCTCATAAAGGGACATACCCGTGAGGGCATACCAGAAATATTTCAGTGGCTTTGAGTTGTCTACTTGCTCCCAGTGAAGCCCTTGGAGAGTTTTCACAACAGGTAGGCTCCCCCAGTAGACAGCCTCAACATCCCAGACAGCAAAAGTCCGCATGAATCCACAGAGGCCACAGCCAAAGAGACCGATAGAGATAATGCCCAGGATGACAGTTGTGGCACTCAGAGTAAGATCGTAGAACAGCTTTTGTGCCGCAAACACAGCTGTGGCATCTGTAACATACCCGGCTGCCGTGGCAGTGATCACAGAGATCGAATGCTCCTTAAGACCGAACGGCCCAGGATTCACAAACTTGATAATAATGATCCACCAGGGGAGCCTAGCCTGTCCATTTTGTTCTCTCCATCTTGCCTCGAACTTGTCACCGCGGGGCAGAAACTTGGCCCACGCGGTACCAACAAAGTAGGAAACAAGAACGAGGAAAACGCCTGAAATGTTTACTTGGGTTGGTTTGAACTAGGAATACATCTATTAGCAGTCCTGAGGTAGTGGATAATGAAGCGATGTGCAGGTTCACTTACAGTGTAAATCTGGGTCATGACAGCCAGGAAGGCTGCGAGACCAGAGCCCAGAATAGCAGCTCGAAATGTCAAAGTAGGGTCGAAGTCATCTCGCATCGGCAAAAGATGGGTGGCCACATCAGCTCCAGTGACAATGACAGCATCTACAGAGTCACGGGGATTTTCAACAAACAATTCGTTGCCACTGACTTGGCCCTCATCCTTTCCTAGAACCGTGACAGCTTTCTCATTGATGGGCTCTGGGGTGGATATCGCGATACCAACACCGTGTGTGTGTGGTTCAGACATGATTGGAACACAGTACGATGATGGAATATTGATGGAGTCTGTGCTATTTGTGTCACGTTGGATGGAACAACAGAACTCAAGAAACGAGGAAGGAAAAAAAGAAAACAGAGAGGATATAGCAGACAGAGGATATATCTGCCATGGATTGTGCGATAGGGCAATCCACTGGGACTCGAGTGGTTTGCTCTTTCCTCCGAAATAGTTCCTTCCACATTGCAATACGTTCAGATGGTCCAAGGTCGCAACACACCTGGGCAGATAAAAGTTAACGCGTAACACAGGCTCCCTCCACGGGTCCAATCACTCGGAGGTCCTTTCGTAACAAATGCCTACCAGGTGTATTATATTAAATAGACGGTTGTTGATTCGAGCCTATTTGCCATATTCCAGTACACGCATGGCTTGCCATGGCTTGCACAAGGGGCTTTTCACTTTCGCTGGGTTCCCACCATATCCATCTGACATTCGGTCAATAATTAGATATGGTCTTACTCATCTCAACCTTTGTTCTTTTCTTTTCTTTTCTTTTTTTTTTTTTGCGCTGACTAATAACCCAAACTTGGGGAATTGGAACTATCAGGCTCGGTCCGAAGGTTCCATGAGTCAAATCTCTATATCTTCCAAGGTTTTCGCATCGAGCCTACCCCCACCTAGATATACGCTCATCGTTAGAGCTAGGGCTGGTGGATGTGGCTTTATCTTGTGTCAATCCATACAGATGATTGCCAGGTAGGCTGAGGTGGCGCTGATAGTCAACAGGTAGCTGCCTGTGTGGGCGGTCAACATTTTATCTTGCGGCTGTATATTGCGGCGTTATTCATTGCAAATCTTGGAACCTCGGAAATCCGGGTGTTTTGATCAAATGGGAGTTTCCATAAAATCTAGTCCTCTGGAAAATGAAAAAGTGAAAGGAAGAAGAAAAAAGAACATGAAGAATATAGAACTTTCACATAACTACAACATAGTTAACTAATTAGTGATGCAGGTTTGAAATATCAGCTCGAAGTGGGGCATGCCCCATTATGTGGTTCCATGGGTCCCCACCTTCCAGATCTGTCCACGGAGTATTACCGACCACAGGCGCCTCTTTCAACCTCATTCCTCCTATTGAGTTATACCCCTTAGGGGAACTATGGTTTGGCAGTCTGGCCTTGGAAATGCTCCAAATTTATGAGCTCATTTCTATTCCTCCCACTTTTATTCCTCCCAGAAATAAGAGGGAGAGAGGGAGAGACCCAGACTTGACACCCGATAAGAATTTTCACATTCCCCAATCTACGTATTTGGAGTTAATTTTAAGGTTCGATATTATATAAGGTGGCACTAGGAGTTCCTGGGGTCGGGAATCCATCTCATGACGAAATTGCCGTCTCCGCAAGACGAAGAGAAGGAACAGTAACAGTTCGAGGAAGATCTCAGCGAGGTTGTGGAATCTGGATAATATACTTTCCTTGCCGCATTGGAATTTTTCGGTCCTGGCTTCCATTGTGGTGCACCCAAGCTGATATATCTCGCTTAAGACTACGCCTTCGGTTGAAAACTGTCCATGCCTTTATGCGCTCAAAGAATTATTTCTATTGTCGCACCCCCCGTGCGCCTTCCATTGGAATGTAATCGCCCAATAAAGGTACATATTGGGGTTTGACAGTATCCTACGGTATCTCGATGAAAGGAACGGATGGTGTGATGGCTGGACCACATCTAATATCATGTCATTGGGGTTTCTACGCAAATGTTTTGTATTTATCTCTAAATATGTATATCTGTTCGGTGACTGATTTGTGTCTGGCTATTACGCCGGATCCGGTAAATTGCTGTTCAGATGATTTTAGTTACCGCTGAAAGACCTTGGTACTTCTGATCGCGCCCCTTCTAGAATCACATCTCCCGCAGCTCTTTGGCAATACTGCGCCTCAAATTCTCCCAGAACGCAATGGGTAGTTTGCTGCAAAGCCGATGTACGCCACTCAACAACGGGGACAAGCAAGATGCAGTTGAGGCGCCATCACCTGAAAGAGTGGGGAATCTCCATGGTTGTGGACGCATGGTTGAATTGGCGAATGAATACATGAAGAATTTAGCTTCACCAAAATATCCCAATTTTATCAAGGTTCAACATCATTTCGTTAGGGTCCGAGCTCCATGAGAATTTCCCTTCTTTGTCTCATGGAGGTGTGGAGCGGCCTGGCAGGAACGTGGTTTCTTTGATACCCTTGGACCCTCGGTTAGTTGTGCAATCATTGCGGTTATATTTTTCGGTCCACATCCGGTTGATTGAGCCACCACATTGATAAGAAGTGGGCTGCTTCCCAGGTGGGATAGTCGCTGCACCCTGCTTAGCGGAGATCAAGTTGGATGTCGGATATTCCGGGAGGCCAAGATACCTGGACTCTGTCTTATATGAAACATCTTCATATTTCACCTCCTTTCCATGGAAACAAATATCCACTAATTAAATTATCCTAGGGAGTTGAGTGCAACCATAGTTGTTGGACGGGGTCATGATGTTTATAGCGTTAACGATGGTGGCGTTAATATTGAAGTCCGAGTTCCTTCCTTTTGAGTAAACTACACATGCCTCGGGGTATCCAAATTTATATCCTCAAAGAACTTAATCAATATGCCCTTTGGCTGCGCCAATAGAAATAAGCTCGGCGGAAATCATGTGGAGGGTGGCCAGACCGGCACTAGCAAGAGATCAACAAAGAATAATACGTCTAAACTCTCGGCGATATAGTTTTACTGTCGATATATTTCTCCCATCTTGTCGCTTGATATTCTAGCTAGAATTTCTATACCGAATCTGTATTAACAATGGCAGATTTTGACGACCAACGCAGCAGAGTTCCCGAGTCAGTGTTCTTGGTGGGTATCCAGCATAATGAGGAAAATGTTTTGGATGCATAACTAACCGTATACTAATAGGGCGTCGTCTGGGCTCTCACGGGCATGTCTTTCATATTTGTTGTATTTCGTGTCTATGCTCAAATTACTTCATTCCGTCGACTATTCCTAGATGATTTCCTCGTTGTCCTCGCATGGGTCATTATACTCACAGCTGCATTCATTTGGCAAGTCCAGGGGAAGATTCTTTACGAGTTATACGCAATCAGCGCTGGCACAAAGCCATTTACCCTTGAATTCCTTCCGAGGTACATTACATTCATGCGCTTTAATGCTCCATTTGAGATATTATTTTACTCGGCGCTGTGGTGTGTCAAATTCTCATTCATGGCACTCTTCTACCGAATCAGTGCTAAGGTCAAGTCTCTCCGTATCTGGTGGTTCGTGGTCCTTTTCTGTACAGCGAGTGTCTACATTGCATCGGTGGCCAATGTCGAATACAAGTGCAGTTTCGGAGAGCAGGACTATATCGTCAGTAAGAACAAGCGAACTCAAATTGGGATTAATTTGCCCTGACACTGAACTCTGCAGCTGAATGTCCCCAGCCTCATCACGTCCATTATGAGAATCGCATGTTCTGGGCCAACTGTGCTGGGGATGTTATCACGGACTTGATGAGTAAGTTCATTTGAAATATACTGGAAAATTAAGCTTGCCCTTTAACCTATCAATATTCTATGTTTTAGTCCTATCTATTCCCTTCCTTGCGTTATGGAAAACACGAATCTCGCTCCGCAAAAAGCTCATCCTCCTCAGCATTTTCTCTGCAACTATCTTCATTATGGTCACCGCTATACTCCGAGTGGCCGTCGGGATGACCTATGACGGTCAGATGAATATCGACTGGCTATGTTTCTGGAGCTTTGTTGAGGTGGACGTTGGTATGTTGTGACTACTTCTTACCGTGTCATTTTCCTGATACTTATCTTCACTCGGTAGCTATTATTGTCTCCTGTGTCGCCTCCCTCCGGCAGCTCTTCGTCGCCTCACAGAATCAGAGTTCATCCGCGAGGGCCGCTTACAAAGATACAAACGAGCCGATTCTGAAAAAGTCAAATCACGGACATAGCCAAGATCTGTCGCAGTCTGTCGGGGATATCGAAGCATCCGCCGATGATGATGTGCCTATGTCGCCCTTGAGCGTTGTACATGTTCGTCAAGAGTTCGAAGTGACTCGCGTTGATGCAAGTCAGCCTGCTAGTGGTGACAATACATGTAGACACCGGACTACCTTTGACTAGTTTAAAAATTTCATAGTACTACTTGCTTCTAGGGGTATCCCATTTATTCTCAACTTTATACATCGACCGTGATATTTGGAACTCACATTGGGGACTAAGATAAGTTCAAAGACAACTTGCCATGTCGTGTGAACATTGCAGTTCATTTTCTATAGATACAACAAACTGTAGGGGTTCAGATTCGCATGGTCGATAATGTTCGACTGATCGCATCGACTTTAAGTGGGTCTTTCGCATATCCGAGAATGACATGGATGCGATACTTGGGGATGACCAGAGGAGACCCGGACACTTTGGCATCCCTGGCCACCACCTGCACCTCGCACATGTTGATTATCCTAAGGGAAAATAAAAATAAAGTGGCTTGTCACTTTTTATCAACACGTCCACCCTATAATTTTACCACCTGCATTACGAAACAACACAACAGCTGCACATCTATAATAAATAAGAAGAGCTACCTACCTACGCTTTTGCACGTCATTGTACAATGATATATAAAAACAAAAACATACAACAGTGAGGATTCGCTGGTGGTCACCCACCCAACTACTAACTCACCGGCGTGTGGCTTAAGTACGGCTGAGCGGACGGGAAGCCCTGTTTTCCACACCCTATGGTCGTATGTGTCATGTTATGTGTTGGAGAGAGTCATAGAATGTAAGTATTTTGGTGGTGGGATGGTAAGAAAGTATGTTAAGGCGTCTAGTAGCATGATCTATATAATATAATCTATCCATGTAACGGAACAAGGTCCAAAATTTAAAGAATCAAACAGCTAAAGGCGCGAACTGTTCTTGGCCTTCGCTTCCAACAATTGACCAATACGGGGATCGACCTTGCTGAACATGGCAGTCACAGCATCCTTGAGCTGATCAGGCACGTCCTCCAAAGTCTCCGACACATTTGACACCCACTGCCTTCGCTCGGCCTCATCAAAGACCCTGTTCCACAGCTCCCGTGGCTGAAGGAAATCCTCGTCATCAACTAGAATCTCATTCTGGCCAAGAACAGCGTTGCGCAAGATGCGCTCAGTGTGTCGTACGTCGGAAACAGTCTGGCTGGGGATACCAGTGCCCAGCGAACTCCTTACATAGTTTGGGTCACCACCATAGTTTCGGGTCACAGTTCCCATCCCGTCGCGCTCGAATGGCGCGTATACAGGGCAGATTGCACGGTTTGGAGGAAGCTGTGTGTAGTTCACTCCCAGACGGTATCGCTGAGCGTCGGGGTAAGCGAACATGCGCGCCTGCAACACTGTACAGACAAAACTTGTTAGTGCCCTATCCCACTCTAACGACAATATTAGTGTGTGCTTACTAGGATCAGGTGTCATTGTAATGCCGGGCACCATGTTAGAAGGCGAGAATGCGGCTTGCTCGATCTCGGCAAAATAGTTCTCGGGCTAGGGTTGTTGTTAGCACTTGCTTCGTGTCTAAGATAAAGAGCCACCCACATTCTTGTTGAGAGTCATTTGACCAACTTCGATGAGGGGGAACTCCTTGTGGGGCCAAACTTTGGTGATATCAAATAGAGCACGGCCGTAGTTTTCAGCCTGCTCAGGCTCCATAACCTGCACGTAAAGTTTCCAGGCTGGCAAATCTCCCCGAGCAATGGCATCCCACAAATCCTGGTTATGGAAGTCGGCGTTTGCGCCAGCCATGCGAGTACCTTCCTGGCCAGAGAAGTGTGTGATACTCTGGGTCGGACGGAAGTGGAACTTGCAGTAGCGGAAGCCACCATCAGCCGACACCATCTTGAAGGTATGTACACCGAAGCCTGTCACTCGACGGATGGAATCAGGAATGCCCCGATTGCCAAAAAGGTGCATCAAAGCATGAACACTTTCCGGTTGGTTGGCGTGGAAATCCCAGAACTAAATGGTTAGCTTCATCCGAAATATGAAACCTTCAATTGGCACTCACCATGGTCCAATCTGGCCGGTTGGTGGCAGGATGTCTCTTATGACTTCTGTTGAGAGAAGGAAACCTAACAGGGTCGCGAACAAAAAACACTGGCTTCGGGGACATTAGAATATAAAATCTAAGAGTCGAGGGTGAACACTTACAATGTGGTTCCCTACAATATCATGATTACCTTCCTCTGTGAAGAACTTGACCGAAAAGCCTCGCACATCCCGGACAGTGTCTGCGCTACCCTTTTCACCACCAGTAGTGCTCAAACGGAATAAAACAGGGGTTTTCTTTCCAACACCATTGAGGAATTTGGCTGACGTGAGGGAAGAAATGTCATTTGTAACCTCAAATTCTCCCCACGCGCCCGCAGCTTTAGCATGAACCACTCTGTGTAGCATTAGGATATATTTCCCTTCCAAGTATCAAATTCAATGGTACCATACCTTTCGGGGATACGCTCGCGATTGAAATGCGAAAGTGTCTCAATGAGAAGCGTGTCACCCAGTGTCGTGAGGCCGCCGCCACCAAAAGTAGGCAATGTGGTGCTGACAGATGGGTCTGCAATTGGCTGGCCTGTCTGGTGTCAGAGTGGGAACATTGTTTTAATATATTTGGTATCATACCTTCTGCCAACGTAAAAGTATGGTTCGTCATTGGAATTGTTTGTCTGGGGAATTCGACTTCAATTGGTATTCTGGATGCAATAAATGGTCCATCTTGTGAGAAACAGCCTTCCTTTTATCAGGTTGACCCTCAGAGAGGAGTCAAGCCCCTCATGAGGGAAACCCCAAATCCGTCTCCAAAACCCGTCCGTTACATTTTGACGTGAGGGGCTTGAGACACAAAGTTGAACGGGCGTTTTTGAAAAGCTCATGCCGATCGGGCGGCAAAGACCGCCGAGCCAAGGCCGAGTTCTGGCCGTCTCCGATAACATTTACCGCGACTCTGATTGGCTAGAGGATCTGACTCCCTCGTGCGGGGAGGGGTTTCCCCTCATGAGGGGTTGAAAACGTCACTCTTGGAGCTTCCATTCCTTCTAGAACACCTTTCTTCACCTCCATGCACGTTTACATGCAAGCCACCCTTCCATCAGCCCTACCAATAGCCAAGATTTTCCTAGTAACTCGGAAGAGCGGCAGGATGGTTTGGAAAAATTCTCGCTATGAAGAGTGGAATATAAAATCGAAGGGATGCCCCGTGTGTTTCTATTCAACACACACAAACACAATCTCGCAGTCTCACAGCCCTTGAATAAACCTCAGTCTCAAACTATTCTCCTATTATCAAGAACAGCCAATCTCAAACTATGGCTTTCGTTTCGAACGGTTCTGAGTACGACTTTATCATTGTTGGCGGTGGTACCGCTGGCAATGCAATTGCTGGTCGTCTTGCTGAGAACCCAGACGTCCGCATTCTGGTTGTCGAAGCCGGTATCCCAAACCCTGACCAGATCGAGCAAATCACCACCCCGTCGAAGGCATTTACCCTTCGTGGAAGCAAGTACGACTGGTCTTACAAGACAACCATGATCAAGCGCGATGATTATGAGAGGGTTGAAAAGCCCAACACCCGCGGAAAGACCCTTGGTGGCAGTTCGTGCGCCAACTACTTCACCTGGATTCCTGGATCGAAGCCTACCTTTGACGACTGGGAGGCCTTCGGTGGCCGCGATTGGAACTGGGACTCCTGTGTGGAGTACCTCCGCAAATGCGCCACCTACCATGACGACGAAAAGCTGTATCCGGCTGAGCTAAGCAAGATTGGAACCGGAGGCCCTCTGCAGATCTCTCATGCCGACTTGGTTCCGGAAATGAAGCCGTTCCGTGATGCGCTAACTGAGGCCTGGGTTTCCAAGGGTGAGCCTCTGACCGAGGACATCTACTCCGGTGAGATGAAGGGTCTCACCCACTGTGTTGATACCATCCACCGCGGCGAGCGCCAGGGTAGCTTCCTCTACCTTAAGAACAAGCCTAACGTGACAATCCTCTACGGCGTTCACTCGAAGAAGCTGCTCATCGACCCTGCCACCCGCGTCTGCTCCGGTGTTACTGTGAAAAGCGATACCCTCGATCACGAGATCAGCATCTACGCCAGCCGAGAAGTCATTTTGTCTCAGGGTGTCTTTGAGACTCCTAAGCTTCTCATGCTCAGTGGAGTCGGCCCAGCAGGAGAACTGGCCAAACACGGGATTACCCCCATTGTGGAGTCCCCTCACGTCGGCCAGCACCTTTTGGACCACCCAATTGTGCCTTTTGTTCTTGAGGTCAAGGAAGGGTACAGCCTGGATAACCATATCCTCCGCGCCGGTCCTCTCAATGACAAGGCATTGTCCACTTACCAAAAGGACAAGACTGGACCCGCCAGCTCTGGATTCTTGGAACTTGTTGGATTCCCTCGAATTGACGAACGTCTGGAGAAGTATCCTGCCTACCACGAGGCCAAGGCTGCTAACGGGGGACTGGATCCTTTCGGCCCAGCAGGACAACCTCACTTCGAGTTGGACTTCGTCGGCCTGTTCAGCTCCGCATTCCAGTGGCATTACCCCATGCCCGAGAAGGGCAATCACATGACTGTCATTGTTGATCTGCTGCGACCCCTTTCCGAGGGTGAAGTTACCCTGAATAACTCAAATGCACAGGTCCAGCCGAATATCAACCTCAACTTCTTTGGCAATGACTTGGATATTCTGGCCATGCGGGAGGGTGTGCGCTGGACATACGATCTTTTGACCAAGGGTGCTGGGTTCAAGGACATTGTTATTTCGGAGTACCCCTGGAAGATGCCCCTTGATTCCGATGATGATATGAACCGGGCTGTTCTCGACCGCAGTCAGACTGGCTTCCGTAAGATTATTCCTTCCGATTTCTCGAAACAAGTCTTAACGAATTACTTTACAGATCCATGTGGTACCGCACGTCTCTCGAAGAGCATCCACCAGGGTGTTGTTGACTCAAAGCTGCGAGTTCATGGAGTGCGCAACCTCAGAATTGCAGATGCTTCTGTCATCCCAGTGATTCCTGATTGCCGTATTCAAAATTCAGTCTACATGATTGGCGAGAAGGTTAGTGAAATCCACGAGCTCCTATAACAAAACTAACGCATAACTAGGGTGCGGATATCATCAAATCCGAACACAAGGATCTATATGAGGCTAAGAACATTCCCTACCTTGTCTCCAGCAAACTTTGATCTGTTACAGATTGTCTCGGGCTCTGTGTGATGTTATTGGTACCTGCGCACATGTAAAATGTTTTGGTCGACACAGTCTCTTCTCTCTTCTCATTTTATGGTCTTTAGTTTATTCAAATACATGCTCAGTACTATCTTCTTCTTGTAACATCGATTCTTGTTAATAATCGGATTGTACCTGCATAAACGGAATGAGGAGTAGTATCAAATGGTATAGTGGATGGTCTCAGGATATTAGATACAGAGTAGCAATATACGACAATCTGGATGAAAAACACAGGTAACTCAAGGGGAATTGGAGCATGGGAGTGAACAAATATTGCTTATGTATTCGATGGTAACGTAGACCACATATCCAGGCTAGTTGACAATGTGATGTTGGCGTTGTGATATATCGTGCATGATTCGGGACTCTGCTTCTGAACACTATTTACCACTATGATGGCCTGTTGTGACTTGATGAAAATCCACGTAGAGGAAGATTAGCATATAATAATTTGCAGTGCGCGCGTCGATCAAAAAGTTGCGGCGACTTCTCTCCGTTGTGAATCTGATTGTCACGCTATCTTGTGGACCAAACAATTCCGCAAGCTATTGTGTACCTGCTTTCACTCAAGGCCTTGTCACGCTACTTGGTCTCTGATACCATCCAACCATGGCCGACCTCAACACATATCTGAAGTACAAACGGGACGAGAGATATCTCGTCTACTGGATCATCCATGCATCAGCTCATATCACTAAGAGGTTTCCGTCTAACAGCACGGAGGGCTCAATTTTCACCGCGGCGATCTCCCTGTCAATGCTGAAGTCACTCGCGCAGCTCATCGCGAGGCATATTGACCTGATTCCGACGACCATTTTCCGGCTATTTGAATCAGTCATCGATGCTAGAAAAAGAACGCAGCACTTTTATCTCCAAAGCACCGCTTCTGATCCAGATCCAGAAATCCAAAAGAGCAATGCATCACATCAACATTGGATAGACGGCCTGTCGGAGGCTTTCGATCTTCTTGGAGGGAAGGCGTGGCAGAAGGTAAAGGAAGGCTCATCTGACACATCTGACACATTCTATGAAGATGAGGAGCAAGTTATTTTTGCCAACAAATTCTCGATGTTGAGCCTGGACGGCCAAACGGAAGGCGGGGGTGAGGTGGATGTGGATGCGGATCCTGACGATGGCGGCGAGGACGCCGGCACCCCTGAGGCTCCCATTCGCCAGAAAGCGAGGCGTGCGAAACAAAAGCTCAACAAGAAGGGAAAGAAAAATAAGCGGGGACAAAAACCGAAGTCGAAAGAGCAGGCAGTGGAGAGTACCTCTGGTTCAGATCCACAGGAAATTCCCCTGGAGAGTTATCGCATCATTGAAGATGAAACTGGCATGATCACCGATTATTTGATGGCTGTTTATTCAATCACCCAGCAGCTAGTACGGCTTCGCCATGAATTGCAGGGCGCCTGGTACAGTGTAGCCTATCAAGGCATGAATACCTCCGTTGCTTCAAGTCTATGCAAAGTTGCCATCGGAATGATCAAGGATGCTCAGTTGCAGATCTTTGTTGAGTTTCCTGGACATGATTCTTTCGATACTGTCATACAGACCATCACACGTGGAGATCCTGATAAGGCCAATGGTACGTTCGGTCTGTCAATCAATCGATTCAATCCAGATGGAACTCTTGACCAAACGTCCCCGCGATCCGATATTGATGTGAAAGAAGAATTTTTGATATACACCTATCAGGATCTCTTCGACTTCATCATCGACTATCAAAAAACGCGCAGCGGTAAGCCTACCAAACCCATGCTCAAGAGTATCCAAGATTGGGACCCATACCTCAACCTCTTACGAGCGAGCAAAGGCCAACGGTTAAGATGGCGCCGATCCTTTACCATTAATTGGCTGTACGACTTAGTCAATGTTTTTTCATCAATTGTTGTTCAACGTCGGACAATGAGCGGACAAAACATTCCCCTTGAGACGGTTGACTGGTCCAGAACCGGCCCCTGGAATAAACATCGACGGTTGTTTGGCATCAATGACTTCGCTGGCGACATAACTCACCTCGCGGTTCAGAAGCCTGGGACCGATATCAAGTCAAAAGTTCTTCCACATCATGTTTTCGAACTACAGTGCATCATAGACTCCCTCGCAGTTTCTCGTGGCTGGTCGGTCAGTGTTTTAACCGGCCATGTCTTGAAGCCAGCTGCCAAAGACTTTCGGCCTCGAAGGGATGTAGATCTTTTCATGGATCGCGAGAACAAAAGATTTGGCAAGGGATTCTGCAGCTCAGTGGACATTCTTTCTCAGTTGTTTGACAAGGATGCTACGCTTCATGGAGATAAGTCGGAACAAATCACTCAAAGAATTCATGATTGAATTCCGTCTGGACTTGATCAACTGGCTTGGGGAGAGCAAATACATGTACGGCTTGACGGACATCCCGCCATCGCGTTTTTCAAACTCCAACAGCAACGGTCTGTGGGAATATTGTCCATTTCTCTGTGGTGCGGGCCTTTCAGAGGCGCTCGAGTTGACACACGGCATGGCTCTGCGTATTTGGGATTGCGTCCCTGAGCCCACGTGCATCATTCATTTACACAATATGCTGGTCCAGAAGGGCCTTCTTTCGCATCCTGTAGGGCTGTGGAACTCCGTTGTGGAATTGTTCCAGAACACAGTGTTTGTGGATGGAAAGGCACCAACCTCCCATTTTGTGGAGGCTTTCGAGGGTTTGGTTGGCGAACAACGCTCTCGTAGCGACCTCTTCCGGAGCCGAGCACCAAAAAGACGGTATGTCCGAAACGCAACGGACTTGCACGACCTGTTAGACCCGACTGGCAATCGGTTTTACAAGGAAAGGACATTACTGCAGGTCTTTAATCGTGCAAACTGGGCCCTGGCTCGAATCCCGGACGAAGAGCTCCCTCTCTCTACGGGACTAGCTTTTATCCGGCTCGCTGAGGTCAAACGAAGGAGAGACCGAGTGACCGGAAAAGTTACTTTGGACGATACTGACCTCGTTAAACGTGCCAGATCTCGTGGATGGAGTGATGAGGACATCATCGCAGCCTCATCTAAGTTGCCATCCCAGTCAAAGGATCCTCATACCGCTGAAGTCATGAAGGCTCTTCGATCAACTGCATCAGAGGTCTATACGGTTAGAAATTGGAGCAACGCACATGCCGAAGGCGAGTTTGACCTTATACGGCACTTAAGTGTACTCAGGCTCGACTTCATAAGTGACATTTGTGGTGAAATGAGGCCTTTATCAAGTCTGAACTACATAGCTGTCCTCGCAAGCTGCTATCTGTTGTTCATGGGAATTGAAGACAGTTTGAAGAAGTGCAGGAATCCAATATGGGTGCAAATCTATGAAGGGAATTCCGAATTGACAGAGCAGAAACGCGTATCACTTACTGTGTTTGCGTTGGCAGAAGCGGATCCCGAGTGCCTCAGAATCATGGCAGATGTATTTGAGAAGATGAGATGCGGTTTCATACACCATATCTACTGGGATGACTTGATGGATACCAAGGAGGCCACAGAGACTTTCAAATCTGGCGATAAAGTCCCATTCGGCCCAAATTCTTGTATGATTATGTGAAAACATCTCAAAGTTCAAACAACAATGGGGTTGACGCGTTGAGAGGAGCCTAACTAGCATAGGAATTACGAAGAGAACCTAAGAATGAAGACCCCAGATTTGCAGCGGCACCATTCGTGCGATTGACCTAAGAACATCATCTATCTGAAGTTGGCAGGCGTTGTCTCAAGAGCTCCTGAAATTATGCGGTGCGGCCTTTAATAGATCACCTGGCAATGTCCATCTTATTGAAGTATAGCAGCCTCCGTAGTCTCTCCCTCCACGTTGTGTACTCTCTATTTCTTTCGTCTATTCTCACCCCGCGGTCCAGCTTGCTACTGATGAGAATCGTAAAGTGGGAAAGAAACCATAGGTTGTATTGAGCGTACCAGCCGAGAGATGGGAAGGCCAGAAGTAGGTGAGAAGCAGAGGTCCTATCCGCCCAAGGCAGAAAAACCGTCTTAAAAAGCTGAGCGGTCTCGTAACCTTGGCGTCGAATCCAGTCACGTGTTTCTTATCTTATCTCCACATGTTTCTAGAATTTTAGATTCCACTTCCCCCTCTCCACCAATCACATTTCATTCATCAACAATACTCAACAGCTACCACAGCTACCCATTTCCGTTTGCGAAGAATCAATCAATCACCAGGTTGACCGAGTTCTCATACTGGCCAAAGCCACCATGATGGCTCCAATTGACTACTCGAAATGGGACAATATTGACACGGATTCAGACTCGGGGCCGCTTTTATCGCTGATACATACCTACGTGTAGGTAATTTAAGATGTACGAGAATGGATATAGAAATTTTAATAATTGCATGTCCATTAAATTTGATGTCTCACGGTTGTCATCCATAGGGAGACTCACGTTGAATTATCTGAGGGGCGTATAACCGCCGTAGCTGGGATATAATGATGATGAATTTAGATTATTTAAGCTAGGCGAGATCGGCTTAAGAACATCAAAGAATCGTCCCCATACTCCATCAATATCACTGTTTGGGAAGATCTATTCTGAGTTGTTGAAAAAATAAAAAAATAACCCCCCCCCCCCAAGGGCGCTCAGCGGGTTCGGATATCTCGCGCCGATGCATTAGGCGGTGGTACAAGCTGCAGACGACGCCACGTGCTGACTTTGTCGTGGAATTATATTAACCAATGATTCCCAGCTATTGCATCCCTTTTTCAACAACTTGAATACACTCTGATCGTCGTTCACAATTCTCGCTCGAAAAAAACAAGACAGAGTGCTGCAATGAGAACAATCGCATTGCAAAAAGCATAGACCGAATTGAACGCTTTGCACTGGTGCGGCTATAACTATTGGAATAGTCGTTCCTACAGAGCGAAATTAAGGGCAATATCCATCGGCCTACAATCCCACTGCTAGGGCGGTCTGCTGACCTACCACTTCTGGCACGAAGGCCACCATTTATCTGAAGGGGGTGTATGTAGAATTCCTATACATACAGCCGCAGCGAAAATGGGACGACGTGATGATGATTTTTTTGGCTCACCTAGTAGGTGTATATTCTGAGGCCTCCAAGGTTGGCCCCGGGGAATTGTTGGGATTACAATAGATGTGATGTGATAGGAGGAAAAACCACGTGATGATAAGGTCATGCACGTGATCCCAAATCCTGAATGACGGAAAAGCATATCGCCGAAAAAAAGTGTCCAGACTCGCCCTTCGCGATCTCAATCTTCATCGAAATACTACGCAAATATGGAGGGTAAAACTCAGGCTCGGTATGGTCCTACAGAAGGAGAGGAACAGAGTATCCCTGTTATCACGACAAAGAAGGCTGTCAGTTCTTGGGTGCACCTTCTTGCTGGCGCGTATGTCTTCTCCAGCTACTATCATCTTTGATTCTTCTGACATCTATCTAGGAGCGGTGGAATGGCTACTGCGATAGTGACCTCGCCTCTTGATGTCTTACGAACACGTCTTCAGTCCGATTTTTACCAACCACAAAATAGGGGCACCGATGGCTCCTCACAGCCTCTTCAACGATCAAATCATAAAACTCTCCGCATTATCAACTCCATCTATCGTGCTGAAGGGTGGCGAGCTTTCTTCCGGGGCCTCGGTCCAAGCATGGCGGGTGTAGTTCCGGCGACCGCGATTAAGTTTTACGTATACGGGAATTGCAAACGTGTTGGAGCTCAACTCATGGGACACACGGAAGACTCCGCTATGGTCCACGCTCAAGCCGCAATCTGCGCAGGTCTCGCAACTTCTACAGCAACGAATCCAATATGGCTTGTCAAAACACGATTACAACTTGACAAATCACAAACAAACACCGGTGGTGCTTCGACTCGTCGATATCGCAATAGCATTGATTGCATCAGACAAGTGATGCGAACTGAGGGGCTAGGCGGCTTTTACAGAGGATTGAGCGCAAGCTATCTGGGCTCGATTGAAACGGCTCTACACTTGGTGCTCTATGAACAGTTGAAAACTCGGCTCAATCGGTCATTAGAAGCCACCGAGGGACCACGGACTCCCTTCTGGAACGAAGTTTTCCATTGGGTTAGTACTAGTGGTGCCGCGTCTTCCGCTAAGCTAGTGGCAGGTCTAATCACATATCCTCATGAGGTATGCCACTCCAGGGCAATTATTATGGTCTCAAACTTACATTCTTAGGTTATCCGAACACGGTTGCGCCAGGCACCTGTGGAACATGGCCAGCCCAAATACACAGGCCTAGTACAATGCTTCCGTACCATCGCTAAAGAAGAAGGTATGGCGGGCTTGTATGGAGGCCTCGCTCCTCACATGCTCCGTTCTTTGCCCTCAGCTATCATCACGCTTGGCGTGTATGAATTTGTGCTGAGAGTTACCGGTGCTTAGGTCAAAGCACAACCCTGTACACTACCGATAGATGTGGTTCTTTTTCTTTTTCTGGGAGGGAGATCATTAGACATTCTTGTATCATATTCCTGTATTATATTTGGCGTGGCTCATCTCAATTACATAATCTCATCTTTCACAGCCCCAAGGGGTTGCGCTACTTTAGAAAATTCCATCTTATTCATTCTAATACATCCTTCATTGTGTTCAGAACCGCTCTTCTCCCCGGTACTTTTCGCTGAAGCGAGCAGGCGTGATTATCACTGGTGTCCCTACACCATATGCCTCTACCATTTCCCCCTCCCCGACATACATTGCAACGTGATGAATTGTGTTTGGATCGCTGAGATTACTCGCGTAGAGCATGGGATCTGGGGGTTTCAAATCCGCCGTCGCGACTCGAGTGGACCAGTGAAGTCTTCGGGTGTTACGTCGAACAAGCCGATTGTGTTTGCATCTTAGTGCCAGCGTCTATAGGGCTTAATTTTCGCGAAGTAGGGCTGGACTCCTACACCGGGCTTGGAGGTTGTGATCGGGGAATTGATAGATGAAGGGATATCCGAATAACCTAGGACATGCAGCACTAGAAGTTCCTAGAGCAGAATTCTACCGTATACCCAGTCCAAGGTTTATGAATGATAAATTATGCGGTAGAGAATATTTGTCCCCACAATTGTTAGGCTCGAACATTCAAATGCACATGTGGCCTTCGATTTATAATGTAAACCTTTTGAAGAATACACAATCCTTGTACATCCATCTTTTGAATGTTCAAATTTGCCACGCTATCACAAAACTCGCTTCTAGAATTTGTATACCAGAGACCTCCTCCCCACTTCATCGATCTCAGCATCGAACACTTCTCTACTTGCTGTACACAGATAATGGCTTACTGTTACCCCCGGGACTCGTAAAGCAGGCTTGCCAGGGTCCTACTTCTGTTCAACCTCTTCCGCTTCAGGATCAGTACTCTTTACAGCATGGATTCTCGTCCACTTAACCCCGAAAGCAAAACAGAAGGCTGCGGCTGTCGTACCAACTGCAACAAACTATAGATGTCCATCAGTCAGCTAAAATCCTTCTACACCCTCGCCTCGGGAAGGGCCACTCACAAATGTGGAAGTAATAGCTTTGTTATAAGACTCCAAAACTGGACGCAACAGTCTGGGGAAGTTCGCATTGGTGATTCCACGGATATTGGCAGTTCCAGCGGCAGATAATAACGCTATCTGTGTAGCGCTCAGACCATGGTTGTCCAAGGTTTTACCCAAAATTGAACGGAACACGATGCCTCCGATAACTTGTGTGACGGTGGCACCCAGATATTGGAAGAATAGATTGAGAGAGACCGCAGCGGGCATAAGCTCCGCTTTATCATGGACTGCTAGTTGGACTATGAGAGAGGGCATTTGCTGGGCCATACCAACCCCGAGACCCTGGATGACTTGGAAACCGATCCAATGGCTGGGTGGTGTATCAAAAGGCGTGAACTGGGTGTACAACGCTGCCGCAGTGCACATAAAGAGAGGTCCAGCAAAGAGCCATGGGTTATAGAAGTTGAGTTTCCGCGCTATTTCGTTTTAGCCTCTGAGACCTTTCAGGTGAAATCCGAGTATTAGGCTTACCCAGAATACCAGAAGATAGTGTTCCCACGATCTGGGCGAGAACTGAAGCTAGAACCCGCGTACCACTCTCTAGTGGACTTACGCCTTCCACGGCTTGGAACCACTCCGGAAGATAGTAGTTCAGGATACCAAGAGACCCGAAATGACAGAAGGAAAAGAAGACACTAAAGGCAACGTTTCGTCTAATAATTAGGTTCCCCGGTATCATAGCGTCATCGCCCTTAAAGTACTCCCAGCTAACGAACAGTATGAGCGTCACACCTGACCCCACAAAGAGACCGATGATTGTTGCCGATCCCCAAGGCTTTTCCGTGCCACCCCACATCATAACGAGAAGCAGCATAAAGATAGCGGGAATAAAGATTGCACATCCAATAAGATCGAGATTCTTAATCCGCTGGAGAGCTGTCCGATCGCGCTGAACAGATGGGGGTTTAAAGAACAAAATCATTGCGACTAATGTCACAGCACCCGGAGGAAGGTTGACCCAGAAACACCACCGCCACGTTGCCTTTTGCGTGAAAGCACCTCCTACAACGGGTGCTAGGATTAGACCCATAGCAAAGCAACTGCTACAGATACCCATGAGGAGCGGCTTCGCTTTATCCGAAGCAACCGTAAGAACAATAATAAACCCACCACTCGCGACACCGGACGCCCCGATACCTGCGACTGCACGACCCACAATAAAGCTGTTGCTATTCGGAGCAAAGCCACAGATAAGGCTTCCGACCATAAAGATAGAAAAGAATATAATATAGATCCAGCGTAGGGGAAAGGTTACGCTTAGCTTTCCTGCCAGCGGAGTCAATGCGCATGTCGTGAGTGAATAGGCGGCCGGATACCAGGCAAGCTGCGACGTATCCTTGAAGTCGGACGTGATGGATGGAATGGCCTATCCATGGCGTCAGATGATCCGATTTTCTGGGACAGGAAGGGGATGATAATAGTACTGTTGCAATAATGAAGATATCCAAGGACATCAGGAAAGCACCGAAGCATATACCGATGAAAATAGCCCAGAGCTTGAAGCCGTGCATCGCCGTTGGGTTTCCCTCTGGTTCCTCGATACTGTTCTCATGTTGGGGTTGGGTAGTACTGCTAGCATCTTCTGACTTGGTAGCTCTGATCTCATCTGGAGACAAAGACATGTTCAAGATCCGTAGAAATCGCGTTAAATCGAGTGGTGTAGAAATCCTCTGGTAAATAGACAAATGCATGGATTGCAAAATGCGTCGGACCGGCGACTCATAATCCTCAAAGAAAATAAAGTCGCCTGTTCCGAATTGTGCATCCTTGCTCTCGGGAGTTCCCTAGCCGTTCATAAAAGAGCAACGTGGCAAAGCTACATGTTCAAATTAACTTACTTCTCCAGAGGGATTTAATAGGGAATTCGACGGTCGAGGGCGATTCTAGTGTTACAATGCCACCACTATTAATCGAGAATTCGAAAATATTGCCCCCCTTCGGCGAAGACTTGAGATACCCAAAAAGAAAACACATGATCAAGAAAAACACCATACGCCGCTGAACAACATCCAAAGAAAGAGCAGATTGAGAGATAACAAGACCACTCAGGGGCTTTCGACGTCCCCGACAAGCAATGGAAAATGCAACACGTGCGGCCAGGTTGGACATGAGGTCCAAGACTGCAAGCGTGGAAAGAAAGACGACCATTGGTAGCCCCTCTGGGCACGCGATAGAACGATCAGAGAAATGGGCCCGTGCACTAGATTACAGTCAGAACGCGGGCTGGACGAACCTTGGAAAGGTACAAGTATATTATATAATCCACTTGGATTCAACCATATGTCAATCACGTGACTGTGTTAGCCCCATTTATTACTATATGTGGGAAAAATACAGCCTATTTTACCACTAGACCATAACAAAAACCTCGGTTCCTGTTTAGGGCCTAGTGATTAAGATATTCATATTTATAGGATTTAGCGGTGTATTTTTTAGTATTTTTTGAAACAATAGGAAACCTAAAGTCTTGAATCATCTAAAATGATATATGATACTAAAGATTCTTATCGATTACTATCGGCAAGTAAAAAAACCAAATAAATGTGTTGGTTGTCGAGATAAAAGTGACAAGTTTATCGCTTTTACTGTGTTTTGGCGTGGACCACTCGCTTGTGTGGACCACTCGCATGTGAAATACGTTATATATAGTATATCTAGTTAGTACCAGTTCTCTTAGAGATATATATATACACTCTTGCCCTACTCCCTATCTCTGCGCTAGGCGGGAAGAGCAATTCATATATCTATCTTAGTAGGTAGTATATCGTGTCGTTGTATAGGTTCTCCTAAGGTTCTTATACGGCAATAAGGTCTGCCTCTATGACTTCTAGCTTTGCTAGGAAGTCTGCCATAACGACGTCTCGATCGGTAGGTATTGTATTAAATGATAGTGAATAGTATATTATTCATTAGAAGTGGTCTGTCCTTCGGTATACTTCTTGGTGAATTAGCGGGTCCTCCTCTCCTCCTAGATACCTGCTCTATTAGTGAACTTCACGGACGGGGCCGACATTGTAAGGTTTACCTGGTCATCGAGTGTGCGCTTATTGTTACCTCGAGGGCCAGGCGTATGTGTTGTCGTGTTGTTCTTGAAGATAGCGTTCTCCTTGCCGGCCGTGCTGTGCTTCCTAGCCCTGCGTACGTTCCCACTGGTGCGGGATAGCACTGATTGCTGATACTCACAGGCTGATGCTGCCGGCGCTGATGATGATGGGGTACTCGGTAGTGCTGCTTCTTCACCCTCGAAAACGTATGTCTCGTTCCTTGCTTGCTTCTGTGTTTTGCCTATGCTTGTATCGAGTACAGATCTGATCCGGCCCTTGCTTCTAGTCGTCGTCGACGATGACGTCGACGCCGTGGATTTATATACAAACATTGAAACCAAAACAATAGCACATAGGCATTGTTACTGAGAAAATACAAGTCTCTTCTACAATCAAAGCTCCCCGGCTGGCATCCATTTCACAGCGATAGGCTCGTGCGTGTTACTCCGTATTCTCTTGTCCTTTGACCATAATTGAAATGAGAGGTCGGCGGGCCCGACCACTACCTTGACATCAAATGATGTTCGCCAAAATGATGGCCCCATGCTATACCAGTGTCGATTCTTTAGCTTCTTAGTGACATTTTCGGTGGAAATATCGAGGTCACAAACTCTCTGCACGCCATTTTGGCACATGTTTTGTGGTAGCTTGTCCAGGGGGAAAGGTGACATGACAATGCTGACTCTCCACGGCTCAGTTTCTTGTCCAATGTTTGTCTTCAATTGAAATGGCTTGGTTATTCCCGTATAAGGAATGGGAGCACCCTGAGATCCGAAGAAATGAAAGTCAATTTTGAAAAGTAAGTTGAAACTGCGTTGTCTTACCTGAATGACAAGCCAGTCGATTTGATCGATAACATAGGTTTTCTTGTCTCTCGGATCAAGCCGGACACGTTCCCCAACATGCTTTTCTGGATTGTATATCTTATCACATATAATACCATAGCTCATTGGAGAGCATCGAGATCCAAACGTGACTACTCCTCGTTTGATTTGTTGTATCCGATCAAGAACTAGACCGTGGACAACAACAAGCTGCCTTTGCCAGTTCAAATATGTGTCAGCTCTTTCATACGATGCGGTCAATCTCTCAAGAATTGTATTGACATACGGCTCATCTGCGACCAATATTTGCATTCCCACCGCGTTTGGATGATTCTGACCGCTTGCATTGCTATACCTATCCACGAGGCATTGTCTCACATATGGAGAGCTGCCAAACCCGCCAGAAAGAATGGTATATTTCTAATATGTCATGACAAGTTAGTCAGATATTCCCCTATTTGAAGTTAAAATACATACAATATGGTCGTCGGGGTACTTAGTCAACATATTTATGATATGTCCATCCAAAAGAACAGACATTTCATCGATCTTGGCGTCGAAACACGATTTCAAGTCATCCCTATATCTATATAAGCAGTGCGTTTCTGAAACATCGTCAAACTCAAAGTTTACCATGCAATAAGCATTTGACCCTCGTATACCGAGGCTTCGGAGAAGTCCGAGTCGGACTCTAAACATGGTACGTCAAGCTTCAACCACGGAGTCAATGTAGATTCAGTACCATATGTACACTTGAGTCTCTGAAAGCGGCCTGAAGTCATTTTCCACGCGGCCTCACTTGGTGGAATGCTAAGATGCTCACTGATCCTCTCCAGCCGCTGGCATATTAGTCGATGCATCTTTCTGTCGATGAATACCGACCCAATTGGCTGACCTAATACCTATTAGCATGATTCCTATCAAGCCTTCCCACGTGTTGAAATTGACAAGTACCTTCCACGTGGCCCAATTGCTCGAGTCTAGTCGGCTCTCCTCGCGAAGAAATGAGTTTGAGGACATTAACATCCTAGGGATGGGTTAGTATGCTGCTATAAATAGTATAGTATAAAAGCCACATTACAGTTGTTCCTCCGCCTGCATCACAGATAAGAATGGTGTCATCCAGCTAGATGGCAGTTTGATCCTGTCAGCGAAAAATTTCAAATAAATATCACTTTCTTTCCCCTCCTTACCTGGTAATGTTCATTTCCAGCATAAACTGCAGCCGCCTCAGCCTCGGTTAGACCAACAGAGACGTGATGATTTGGTGTTTTCGAATTGATTGCGCGCTGGAGGAGTCGGCGTGTTTCTTCCACCATGCGTACATCCTTCCATGTAGTCGGCACACTGAAAAGGAATTCAACCTGACGTGAGCTGAAATGAGGAATTGTGGTGTTGAAATGAGAGACCACGTGTTGGTAGATGCATTGGATGTAATCTTGAAACCAGCGCTGAGCATCCTGTCGACTCGGGCTCCCCGGTAAGTCATCGTGATAGTGAGGTGCAAGATGTAATTTAAAAAATTCCTTGATGTCAGCGTTTGCATCTTCTTGGTCACACTTGAACCCCCAATTCCTGATCAAGCCTGACTCATTATCATACTCAATGCACGTGGGAACTTTGTTGGAAAGCTCGCCTGGCAACTTTCCCGGCCAACGTTGAATGGTTTTCGGGGGAAGCCATTCTGGTGCACAGGAATACGCAACCCCTGTAAAAGAAGGACATATTAGAATATTGTGACATGGAAATGAACAAACAGATAACTTTCACCAATATGATCGAGTGCGACATACCAGTATAAGTCATCCCAAAATCTATCCCAACTACAATATCCGGTGTCCACGCACCCCAAGCATCATCTGATGCTTGGGCTTTCAGCACCACGACCTCCTTTTCAGCCATTTTTCTTCTAAGCTAAGTTTAGTATTAAGACAGCAGGCTGTATATATTTGTATTGGGGGGGGGGGCAATGCACAGACTTGTTTTGTGAGCGAGCGAGCGCTCGATACAAAATAAAACAAAAAGGACCTTGGATCACTCTTTTTTCGCGGGGTCTCATTCTACCAAGCCCCTAACAAGGATGTTACTCCCATCACGTAATTTAGCGAGATTTTTAATTCAGCTAATGTACGAACTAAGAGTAGCTGCGTCTCAGTCCGCCCCCAATTTCTTGTTCGTACTATGCCCCATTTCGCTCGTAGATCCACCCCCAGCCTGTCCGCAGCTATTATATCCATGAATTCGCCCGGGAGTTTTTCTTTAAAAGACTCATAAGTGTTTCTTGTACAACCAAGCCTCTAATCATCATGGCCGCCGACGCAACACAATCCAGCCAGGCGGAGAGTAGTACTACTCCATCCCTCTCGGTGAATGCTGCAGGCGTAACCACTACTACTTCATCCCTCTCGGTGAATAGTGACGCTGCAGGCGCGACCACTACTACTCCACACTCCTCAACAAATGTTGGCGCATCCGTGGAGACTACTTCATCGCTGATGTCGCTGCCTCACACTCAGCCTGCTGGTAATTCAACATCGCGAACGCCTTCCAGCGTTGCTAGCCCATCACACACACCTACCAACGAAACCGTGGTCCCAATAGATTCGCAATCAAATGCAACCTTTAGTTCTGGGACTCTTGCAGGTGCCATAGTAGGCGCCTTTGCAGGGGGTTGTATCTTGGCTCTATTATTGGCCATTCTTTTCTTCTATTTCCGCAAGAAGACTCGCAAACCTAGGGAGCAGGACCGTGATTCTGCTTTCATTAAGAAAAATACAGGAAAGGTATCAGGACAGACAATCACTACATTCGCTGGCTCTTCTACTACAGCGAGCTCTGATAAGCCGCTCCCCCCAGTTGCGACCGCGTTTAAGTCCCAGCACCTCGATCTGTCTACATATATTCCACAGCCAGCAGATGACAACTCTGTGTGCATGCGAATCCAGAGCTTATTTGATCAGGCCGGTCTGCATGTTGAAAACTACTACTCTCGCACCGCTTCCAATCCACCTTTGACTCAAGACCTTCTTGCTCGTCTCAGCCACTACGACTCAGCATATTTGCCTGCTTCCTTGATCACCATGCTTTCAAGACCCCGATCTCAAAGGGCTGTTCTCACCCATGCTCTAGTTTACAGCCTGATGCGTGCTATTCAACCCGGAGCAACCGAAAACTCTCTTCTTCCACCGAGTTATGCGCAAATTTCAAAGCAACAGGGAAGCGAGATGGCCAATGATGGTAAGGCTGGTTCGGCCTAGAAATGCACTAAAGAAAACGCACTGACTTGATTACCATAGCCACGGACCGTGCCGAATTTGCTTGGCGTATGCTCACGTCCTTCCTCTACGCGTCAGACAACCATTCGCCGACCCTACCCACAGACAACATAATGACATTTGCGGAGGAATTTACCAAGGCATTTGAGCCATACAGCAATTCGCAATTCGCAGAGGATGATCGCCTTCGGCATCTGGCCACTATCTCCAAGTCGGCAGCTGATCTCGGCATCTGGTTATTCTCACAGCCATGTTCGTTCAAGTTCCAGTGGATAACAAATGGGGTTTCTGGTGATACGATCGTGGTCCTTCCTGCTCTTGTAAAGGTCTGCGACGAACAGGGCCGACGATTGGCGGTTCCAGAGACGTTGGCGGAGGAGAAGACAATACAAATTTGAAGGAGGGGGCTTTTTCTTTTGACATTGCCAGCGGTAGCCATATCTATATATCGAATGATAAGTACAATATTATTGAGCTTTAATGGATAGCAAAGCCCATTCCAACAAAAGAACAGCCGAACTATCCCACGTGTGTGGCAAATGTCTTCTCTTCTCGCGATTGCACCTGAACTCCCTTTGACCGACGCCATGTCAACATGTCCTGCAGCTCATCATTTGGACTGGCTGGGCTCATTGAACTCTTAGTTTCATCTGTAATTTCACTAATGCCCGACCCAGATCGTTGAGGATTGGATAAATCGCTTATGGACATTGATGGCACTTCGGCCCCAAGTTCATGCACAAATCTAGGTCTGGTCATCGTCTTGGGCAGCGTTACCCGCTGAAGATGACTGAGAACCATCATAAGGCTCTGGTAGCAAATCAAAAGTCGATTCTTTTTGTCTTGGGCCCGTTGCTTGTCACGGTACAACCATTGTAGTTGTCTTCCCAGACCGAGTTTGCCATTACCCGTTTCTTTTTCAATACGAGCGGGCTCGAGAATTAACGCAATTTCGTGGGCAGCATCCGCAGTATCTTTAATGATACAGTCAATCCACTCTCGCTCACTGGGATTGAGACCAGGATCATTCAATTCTCGCAGGCGTTTTGCTTCGTTGAGTTGAATAAAGACATGGTTTGTTGTCTTGAGAAGCTCTGCCGTCTGTTCGTTGACGGAGGCTAACTGGAGGTTCATGCGACTGTCTCGTAGTGCTTCTGGGGCGTCTTTTAGCGTGACTTGTTCGGAAAGGCTCGTTAATTGAACATTTGAATTTGATCCCTGATTGCGGAAATTGAAGAGTCGAGATCGAGCCTTAGTCATTCCCATTGTAATCCCGAAAGTAGACTTCCACTCGCAAAAAAAAGGCTACAAATACGGGTAGTGCGGTTTACCTCCGTTAACTGCAGATGGCAACGGCCCCCTCTTTGACTATTAGTTTCATTGTATATATGTATGTACTTATGTACGTCCAGTAAGTGGGTGCGCTGGGAGATTACCTCATTTTAGGAGGGGCGCTAACCTTGCATTAGTTAAATCTGCGCTATTGGTTCAACCAGCACGCGTATAGGAATTCAGGAGTTCTACCGGCAGAAAGAAGTGGGTCTAGCGTACGGAGTACTGTAAATACTACTAGTAATGATACGCCATTCTAGGAGACTACTACATATGCTTAACTAGTTCGGTTTCGCGCCGGCCCAAAAGATTCTCACACTGTCTATTGCGCACTCACCCTTCTCACCCCTAGTCGCGCGACACTCTCCTTTCACAACTCAATTACTTGACTATATATTTATCCCCTATGTGCAACCTAACATATACGACCATAGGGTGTGGAAAATAGGGCTTCCTGTCCGCTCAGCCGTAGTCAAGCCATACGCCGGTGAGTTAGTAGCTGGGCAGGTGACCACTAGCAAATCCTTACTGTTGTATGTTGTATGTTGTATGTTTTTGTTTTTGTTTTTGTTTTTGTTTTGGTTTTATTTTGATTAGTTAGGAAATCCCCTCTTGCCGCCCTACTCTTCAGTCCCTTCAGCCTATTCACCTGAATGCTCTAAACGCCACTATTCTACACCTAAATAATCTTATATGCCCCTAAACTGCTAACATGTCCTTCCCCTGCCGTACTGAGTTTTTTTGTCACAGGTATGTTATTTCGATTATAGCTCTCTGGTACTAATTTCTACTAGTTGACATATATCCTCCTATAAAATGTATTTCAGCTTGTGGTCATCTCGGGGTATCTAGCTTGTTTCTTTGGGACTAATGCCTATTCGAGTTCAATGCAAGTTTTCTGTACGACTCAATCACGCTCAATGATGTACCAACTCTTATTAAACAATATCATAGACAAGTGCTCGTCACGGTAGTTCGATCAACCGTCTGGCTTCGTTTGCTGGAGCTTCGAAAATCTTCGGCGCTTCATTCTGAGCCTGTCCGTTGTAGGATTTTGAATCCATCATGGGCTGAGTTGGAGACGTGACAGGACTGCTCTCATTGACCTGCATTGAACTCTTAGACCTGCGGCGGACAAAGGCAAATACCGCGAGGGCCGCAACGAAAGCACCACCAAGTCCGACACCCACTCCCACGCCAATTTTGGTACCATCTGATAGTCCGCTATTTCCCTGGCTATTATCACTTGCAGTAGTGGTCGTAGCGACCGCTGGAGATGGAGTTGAGGATGGGCTCGAGCTAAGAGTAGATGTCGTGGCCTGTGTAGTTGAAATGGCAAGGCTTGATGTGGTGACGGTTGCTGAGGCGTCTTCGGTGATGTTGAAGTAATGACTGGCGAAGATTTCATTCAGGTCATTAATATTTGAAGCATTGCGGACTTGGAAGAAAAATATTTCTCCATTGCTCAAGTCCCTATTTGTTGACACGATCCAGTCATAAGAGGTGACGTCGAGGAGGTTGGCTGAGAGTGTTTGACTGTGTTAGTAAGTTGCTTGTAAGAGGTCAAGGCCTAAATGGGTGACATACTTTGCACCCATTCAAAGTCCGAATTATCATTTTGCCATAGCATGATTGAAATGATTTCCAACGTAGTATCCCAGCGCAGCTGCACTGTCTTCCCCAGGGTGTAAACCGGATTATCCTGGTACTCATGTATAGGACCTCCCGTCGGCGGATTGTAGAAGATCCCCGGTTCCGCAAGTACAATGCCGCATGTTAACAGGAGGATCAAAAATAGCTTCATGAGGGAAAACAGGAGATGAAGACACAGAGTGAGTAGGTATGATAGAGTCGTCGGGCAGAGTTTGCGCAAGGGCTGAGACTCAACTTCTAGGGTGTGGCTTAGGGAAAGGGGGTTTTTCTGGCCCCGAAGCACTAACTGATTCGCTAGACCCTTCTTAGTTAGTCCCTACAAAGTCCCTCAACCATGATGCAAAAGAGTAACTACAGGACTTGCTTCGAATGATCTAATATGACTGTGCGTAGCTGAAAATGTTAGACCACAGGACTTGCTTCGAATGATCTAATATGGCTGTGCGTAGCTGAAAATAGTTAGACCTCAGGACTTCAATACAACATTGATTCGAGCCTCCACTAAATATGGCCCCGTAATAGTCAATCTCCCGCGGAGACGGACACGCCCGAACGGTATCATGAGCCGCCCCAATCACACGCTAAAGCCTAGCGCTTTTGTAGATGTAGGGTTCATGTGGGGGTCCATAGCACAGACCCCCCAGCGTTGATTGGGCGAACGGAAACTCAATCCAGAATGTAAATTTACCCTTGGTTGCATGTATATCGCCCATTTAGCGATATTTTAAGACATAAAGTGTGCGCTCGTACCTCTAGAGGGGAAAATATTCGACCATACATGTATTTAGTTAGTGATCTCGTAGTTTACGTGCGAGATAAGGGAGTTACCGAAACGTGCTATGGGTGGCTAGAGCGGCGGTCCACCCGACAAGGGTACAAGGCACTACCTGACTAGCGCTGTATTACTGACCGTAGTGTGATTAATGCTGCTCGTTGTTGCGGCCCCTTTCAGAGAGGCTGTCTTGGAAGCTGGAATGGTTTAATCCTCGCTTTCACGCCTAATCGAAGGTTTCAATGCGGCTCCTCCGAGACATGACATAGCGACAATGCGGTCTAGCGTCCACATGTTGCTAACATCTCGTCAGACCTCTTTCGTACTCTCCACTGTGCTCCTCGTTGGTTGCTGTATTTTTTTTCGCTCCCTCTATTTGTCCCCACCGCGCGAATCTGCTTCGGTATCCGTCTTTCCAACGACTCCCCCGCATCCAGAAGAGAGCGCAGGCAACGGGACATTAGGAGTAAGCCACTCTCTTGACTACATTGATCGGCTCACTTGCTAACACAACCAAGTTCCAACAGATACTTGCTTTATCCCACGGTGCGTCATGGCGCACTCGGGGCCTTGTCGCCGCCGCTAGATTGACTGGGCTTCAAATCACGATTCCCCCACAGCCGCCAACACACCCAGATCTCATCAACGCATTTTCTCTTCTCGGTCTCCATGAGCAAGAGAAAGACCACCCCACCCCCGGTGGCAGCCGGGCTTGGCTTGCGCACCTTGATCTGATCAAATTTGCCTACCAATCCAACTTTCAAACGGCCCTGATCATTGAGGACGATGTTGACTGGGATGTATCGCTCAGAACACAAATGAAAGGTATTGCATCCGCAGTGAGATCCCTGACAAAGACCGCTCAAGATGAAGCATGGCCGTACGGTCGCGGCTGGGATGTCCTTTGGATTGGCCATTGTGGAGAATACTGGCAGGAGGGATTTGAGACTGTTTTCTTTGAAAATGATGCAGTGTGCCCACATGCAGACTACACTGGTTGGGCAAATCAATACCTGTCCCGCCTACCTAATGGAAAGCGAGCTGTATATTGGTCCAACAACCCAGTCTGTTCGTTCGCTTATGCGTTGTCTCATGATGGTGCTAGGAAAGTGTTGGAGCTAACTGGAGCTGGTCAAGGCGAGGCATTCGACATCAAGATGATGAGCGAATGCAAGGCTGGAAATCTTAGGTGCATCTCTGTGGCTCCAGAAGTCATCCATCAATATTTCCCACCTGAGGAATACAGGTTAAAGAGCTTGGTGGATATCGGCAATGGAGAAGCTCCAGGCCCGGAAGATTCGGTTTTCGAATCTACAAAGGGCACTACAGAGAACATCCTATATAGTGCACGTTGTCAGGCTCTCTGGGGCGAGACCTGTCTCAAGCGATAGTCTTTTAAGCACTTAAAATATCATGTGTGCCTTAGGCTTTGACATTGCTTCATTACTACAACTCAGCAAATCATCTTTCAGATCCAGTCAAACCCTAACGTCTCCTTTACTATTCTACCTATGTACTTAATGCGCAACTTTACTCCTTTTTTAGTCAAGGTAAGTTTCGGCGGGCTTTGTGTGATCAATAGATCAAACATCTCTCACCTACCGAACAACCCCGAGAAAAACGATCATAACGGCTCTTGACACCTACTTTTTCATGAAAGAGGGGTAACTGCTGATGTATGTGCGAGTTAAATACTCCTGACTGATATAATGGCTAGCTTCCTGAGAATACAGGTAATCCTTCCAGCCAAATAGTATCCTCTGCGAGATGGCAGGTTATACATAAACACTCTCCAGGGACTTAGTGCGGCCTAGCCTAGAATTCCAGCAAGATTAAACCTAATCGACCCACTTTAGGTCGGAATCAAGCATCTTGCAGTAGAGAGAACGCAGTAGGGCTGTTGGCAACAGCACCCTACAATTAAAGCCAAGGTAAACATAAAAATGGGGCAATTTGCCTATATTCTCAACAACTTCCATCCTTAAGATATGAGGTAATTTTCACACTTACTCAATCGACTTGATGTAATAATCTATCCCGCCCCAATTTGAAATTCATGAGGATGTAAATTATATGACACAAAAGTCCAACCCTATGCAGCCCGTTCCATCCTCATTGCGCAGCACTATGGGACTTTACAGCCATGAATTCTCAGAGAGCATCGCCAACAAGCAGCCAGGGCCGACTAGATTTTAGTCGAATTACGCGGTTGTTCAGCTAGCTAGGGACAATCTCACAAATTTCTGGATATTCAGCTACAACCTGATACGAGCTGACATATCGAAACCTATCAATGACTGGCGAATCCCGTTGCTCGGATTTCATTCTGCATGGCACCAGATGCCTGCCTCCAAGTCACAGTCAACCTCCCTCTCAACCAAAAGGCCTAGCATCTTAATGAGGAGAATCTTCATTGATACCTCTAGTGTGGATAGGAGATAACGTGAGGGGCCTGGCGATCATTGCAACATCGAGCGACGACCACACAGACGAAGCGCATAATACCGCA